CCCTGCGTCCACATAACCCTACCTCCCTCCCCCCCTGCGTCCACATAACCCTACCTCCTTCCCCCCCACGTCCACATAACCGTCCGTCCCTCCTCCCCCCCCCCCCGGCGTCCACATAACCCTACCTCCCTCCCCCCCACGTCCACATAACCGTCCGTCCCTCCTCCCCCCCCCCGGCGTCCACATAACTGTCCGTCCCTCGAACGGACAGTTATGTAGGTACGGGATTGAGCTCTACTCTTTGGGGCCGCCTCTCAACTGTCAATAAATCAGGCGATGAGTCACAATAACGTGCCTAAAGCATGTTGACCAGACCACACACTAGAAGGTGAAGGGACGACCACATTTCGGTCCGTCCTGGACCATTCTCAAGTCGATTGTGATGAGGAATTGATTGATAAAGATTAAGCCATCCAAAAGGTGGCACGGGCATGAATAGCCCGTAAGTGGTGGCCCTTTTGAGCCATTACCAGTATCAAGAGCTGATATTGGAGATCTGTGGAGGTGCGACTGCACCCTGCGTGACGGGAGATGTCTCCCGTGGTTAAGTTGGTGATGAGGAAGTAGAGACAGGCAATAAATGGGCAAGAGAGAGGTGAGGAGCACACGGGAGACATCTCCCATCACGCAGGGTGCAGTCACACCTCCACAGATCTCCAATATCAGCTCTTGATACTGGTAATGGCTCAAAAGGGCCACCACTTACGGGCTATTCATGCCCGTGCCACCTTTTGGGTGGCTTAATCTTTATCAATCAATCAGTTAGAAGCAAAGTGTAGTAGAGGGGATAGTAGTAGGAATAAGAACTGGAGAGGGCCTATTGGCCCATACGAGGCAGCTCCTATTAACCACCGAATGAGAAATAATAGGAATAAGAAGAGGATAGCAAGGGAACGTAGAAGACAATGACCAGAAAAAAAGAGACAAGAGAGAAAGAAAAGGAAAGAGAAAGATAAATGGGACGTCAACTGTTACTAATTACTGCACTAACTTTTTTTCCAACCCCTCCCCCCAGGAAGCAGCCCGTAACAGCTGTCAAACTCCCAGGTACCTATTTACTGATAGGTAACAGGGGCATCAGGGTCAAAGAAACTGACCATTTTGTTTCTCGCCGGCGCCGGGAATCGAGCCTCTGTCCACAGGATTATGTGCCCAGCGTGCTGTCCACTCACCCACTAGCACCCCTGTGGACGCGAGGGAGGGGTAATGTGGACGCGGGAGGGGGGGAGGGAGGGAATAATCAGGGGAAAGTGTCGTTGTTGTTTTTGTTTAAGATCAGCTACTGGGAACAAAACGTTCCAAGTAGCACGGGCTATGGTGAGCCAGTAGTGGACTTACCTGGCACAGGAGCGGGACTGTAACTTGTGCGGCCAGGGAAAGCGTCATGGTTAAGCACCACTCAAGGATGGAGTGGTGCCTAACCACTTGGACGGTCGGGGATTGAACTCCGACCTGCATGAAGCGAGACCGTCCCTTTACCGTCCACCCCAAGTAGTTAGGGGAGGGATATGGACGAGGGGGGGATGTGGACGGGGGAGGGGAGAATGTGGACGGGTGGGGACTGCGGACGAGGGGGGGAATGTGGACGGCGGGGGGGATGTGGACGGCGGGGGGGATGTGGACGGCGGGGGGGATGTGGACGGCGGGGGGGATGTGGACGGCGGGGGGGGGAATGTGGACGGCGGGGGGGGGGGGGAATGTGGACGGCGGGGGGGGGAATGTGGACGGCGGGGGGGGGGGGGGAATGTGGACGGCGGGGGGGGGAATGTGGACGGCGGGGGGGGAATGTGGACGGCGGGGGGGAATGTGGACGGCGGGGGGGGAATGTGGATGGCGGGGGGGAATGTGGACGGCGTGGGGGGAATGTGGACGGCCGGGGGGGGGGAATGTGGACGGCGGGGGGGGGGAATGTGGACGGCGGGGGGAGGGAATGTGGACGGCGGGGGGGAATGTGGACGGCGGGGGGGGGATGTGGACGGCGGGGGGGATGTGGACGGCGGGGGGGGGATGTGGACGGCGGGGGGGGATGTGGACGGCGGGGGGGATGTAGACGGCGGGGGGGGGATGTGGACGGCGAGGGGGGGATGTGGACGGCGAGGGGGGGGATGTGGACGGCGAGGGGGGATGTGGACGGCGGGGGGGGATGTGGACGGCGGGGGGGGATGTGGACGGCGGGGGTGGGGATGTGGACGGCGGGGGGGGGATGTGGACGGCGGGGGGGGGATGTGGACGGCGGGGGGGGGATGTGGACGGCGGGGGGGATGTGGACGGCGGGGGGGGGGGATGTGGACGGCGGGGGGGGATGTGGACGGCGGGGGGCATGTGGACGGCGGGGGGCATGTGGACGGCGGGGGGATGTAAACAGGGGGGGGGGGAATGTGGACGCAGAGGGGGAATGAGGACGCAGGGGGAGGGACGAGGACGCGGAAGGGGGGAGGAATTTGGAGGAGGATAATTTCTGAGATAGAAAGTTTAAAGTTGTGACTGAGAAAATTGAACAGGTTTATGAGTAAGCAGCCGCCGCCAGACACCTGCTGGACGCTACACACCATCATTCCCTTCACCTCATCTTTAAAGAAAAATTGAAATAAGAGATTCGGGCGTGAACGGTTGGCGCCCGTACACGCCCGTCCCAAACAAACTACGAGGGGTCGCAGTCGGAGACAGGTGACAAAATATTGCCAGAATGTAGCCAGGGGAGTTTGGGGTGGAGTAGCTAGGAGAGTTTGGGGTGGAGTAGCTAGGGGAGTATGGGGTGGAGTAGCTAGGGGAGTATGGGGTGGAGTAGCTAGGGGAGTTTGGGGTGGAGTAGCTCAACCCGTTCTCGCAAATTTAATAAGTCAATATTGACTTATTAGTTGCGTGCATAGGTGACATACTAAACATAATAGTTTCCCTTGAAAAGCTTCATAGAAAACACCGACCTTACCTAACCTACTTAGTATGTTAAGATAAGCATCTTATTGCTTCGTAATTACAATTATTACCTAACCTATACCAATAATAGGTTAAGTAACAATTGTAATTACGAAGCTATAAGATGCTTATTTTAACATACTAAGTAGGTTAGGTAAGGTCGGTGTTTTCTATGAAGCTTTTCAAGGGAAACTATTATGTTTAGTATGTCACCTATGCACGCAACTAATAAGTCAATATTGACTTATTAAATTTGCGAGAACGGGTTGAGTAGCTAGGGGAGTATGGGGTGGAGTAGCTAGGGGAGTTTGGGGTGGAGTAGCTAGGAGAGTTTGGGGTGGAGTAGCTAGGAGAGTTTGGGGTGGAGTAGCTAGGAGAGTTTGGGGTGGAGTAGCTAGGGGAGTTTGGGGTGGAGTAGCTAGGGGAGTTTGGGGTGGAGTAGCTAGGGGAGTTTGGGGTGGAGTAGCAAGGGGAGTTTGGGGTGGAGTAGCAAGGGGAGTTTGGGGTGGAGTAGCAAGGGGAGTTTGGGGTGGAGTAGCAAGGGGAGTTTGGGGTGGAGTAGCAAGGGGAGTTTGGGGTGGAGTAGCTAGGGGAGTTTGGGGTGGAGTAGCAAGGGGAGTTTGGGGTGGAGTAGCAAGGGGAGTTTGGGGTGGAGTAGCTAGGGGAGTTTGGGGTGGAGTAGCAAGGGGAGTTTGGGGTGGAGTAGCAAGGGGAGTTTGGGGTGGAGTAGCTAGGGGAGTTTGGGGTGGAGTAGCAAGGGGAGTTTGGGGTGGAGTAGCAAGGGGAGTTTGGGGTGGAGTAGCTAGGGGAGTTTGGGGTGGAGTAGCAAGGGGAGTTTGGGGTGGAGTAGCAAGGGGAGTTTGGGGTGGAGTAGCTAGGGGAGTTTGGGGTGGAGTAGCAAGGGGAGTTTGGGGTGGAGTAGCAAGGGGAGTTTGGGGTGGAGTAGCAAGGGGAGTTTGGGGTGGAGTGGTTAGGGGAGTTTGGGGTGGAGTGGTTAGGGGAGTTTGGGGTGGAGTAGCTAGGGAAGTTTGGGGTGGAGTAGCTAGGAGAATTTGGGGTGGAGTAGCTAGGGGAGTTTGGGATGGTGTGGGGGAACTTGGGATGAGATGAGGCAGGGATGGGAAAGGGGCGGAAATGGGGCAGATGGTGGTAGTGTTGGGGAAGGGGGGGGGCGGAAACGGCGGCGGGGGGGAAGAGGGAGGGATTGGAGGAGGAATGGTTGTGGTGGTGTTGGGGAGGGGGGGGCTGGATGGGGGTGGCAGAGGGGTGTAGGGTACAGCGAACATGTTTAAAGGTCTTGGCAGCTGCGACTTTAAATGCACGCGGATAAGGACAGCTAGCACACAGTGGGTCCCTAAGCATCTATTGCTACTATACACCTAGGCGCTTTTAGGTGTGGTGGTGGGGGGGGGGGGGCTCCCCGACCTGAACAACATGCAGGATGGAAACAAGTGTCATGTGGCAGGCTAGCAAGCCCGGGCCGGACGCCAGCACCAACTTAGACCAATACTCGGCGCTCAGCATCCCATACTCGGCGAACACATTCCCACCATGTGTTGAAGCACATACTCTACATCTAGTGAATATGATCGACCCCCGTCAACATTAATATTCGGGAGTAAAAATTAGACGCGTGTGGCTATCAACGCAGATTAATTGCATCATCGTTAATGAGCATCATGATGGTCAGTTATAAGAGCACATGATGACCAGGAGGCTGGGAGCAGCCATATAGGGGTGAAGGGCCAGCAATGGGTGGTGAGGGAGCACGAGGCTAAGCACGGCCTCCACCACATTGGGAAATTCCTGGGAGGCGAGGCTACAGGGCGCCCAGACACACACTCCCCACGCCATCCGCCACCCATCTCACTTACATAATAAATTATAACAAAAATTAACTACTTGACGTTTAAATCCTAAAACTACTTAATACAAACTTAATATAGGCAAGGACAATATTCAAATATGATAGAAGGGAGAAAATGGCGTGATGAGCGAGGCAGGTGGTGTGTCCGGCTGCCACAGACAAAGTCCTGCCACAGCTTGGGACTTTGTCTCTACACGGCTCACCCACCAACACTTACCGTTCGATAATGACTCCGTCCCTCCTCCCTGAAACAAATAAACAGCACTCTTCAAACACAAAACTTTCACAGATATGGGAAATGGCAAATATCACTATAATTTGTAATAACGATCGTGCTCCACATATGGAGGAAACGGGTTCAACGTACGGACTTAGTCTCGGCGGCCATCTTCTACATAGGAGTCTGCGATCACAACACTTACAAGAGCTAAATATTCCAAATTCGGCATTTTCATGGCACTTTGGATTGCTACATGATGAACATTATCGAAAAGGAACTTAATGGATAACTCACCGGCTGGCTAAAGTCGTCCATCTCGGACATCACCAACAACAGCACTGAAATTTGACAAAGTCCCCACACGGCCGCCAGCAACAGAGTCCAGCGGGGCGGCGAGAGACAGAGTACAGTAAGCGGCCCACTGCGCATGCGTCTCCCTAATACCACCCTCAATATCACAACATTATTATTTTTTTACCACAAATTAGCGTTTTTACTATTTCTTTCGGATACATATTTAATTCTCCTTATTTCATTCATTACTTTAATTAAAATATTGAAAGCTACAATACTTGATATTAGTAAAGAATGTTTATTATATAGCATTGTACATCTACCATGACACGTGCAGCTCTCTGGCTGATGATTTAAAATTAAATTATATCAAGCTACATTGATTGACAAATACTCAAGTACAGATACTGCTATATGTAATTAAGAACTACAATTCACATTTTAAAACAAGTAGATAGATATATTGCCAATGTTATATGCTGGTAATTTGAATAGAAACACAAACATTAATATACTTTATCTAGTCCCTATAATTTTATCTAGTCACTATAGTCTAGGGAGGATACCCGGAGTTGTCTGGGTCTTTCTCGCATCTATCTATCTATCCATCCATCCATCTACCCATACATTTTTCCATCAATCCATCCACACATTTATCTAGCCATCCATCCATCTATCCGTCCATCTGTCTATTTATCTATCTATCCATTCATCTATCCTTCCATTTATGATCTAGTCATCTATCATCCATCTATTTATGATCTATTCATGTATCATCCATTTACTCATATTACTTATATGATGGATATATATATTATATATCCATCAATTTATCATTTATTTATGTATATACATATATATGTATAGAAGTTACATTGCGTTTATGAGAGTACATAGCATTGAAGTTTTTACATTCTTGTAAAGCCACTAACACGCATAGCGTTTCATCATCTATTCATCTATCATCCATCTTCCACCTACTCATCTATCGGCCTCTCTCTACCTCTACCTTTTTCTCCCGATAAGAAAATCATTTGATTTAATTTTTTGTGCAGATATCCTAGACACAGATGAGAACCCGTGTGTTATTTTCCTATTACATTGTTACGGCACAATTGCAACCATATGTGTAATGAGGACGTGATAATTAAGTACGAGGTGAGCGCTTGATAGATCATTGTGTTGGGTGTGTGTAACCTGGTCCTCCCAGTCAACTGCAGTCTGACCACTTATGTTGATGAAAGGGAGCAGTAGAACAACAGAACTTACATCATATCAGGCTTGGATACCCATGTGCATGGGAAATAGGTTTACAGGTTCCGGAAGATGAGAGGAAATGTCAGCACTGTAGAGAAATGCCAGACAGACCACTGGAACATTATCTAACACAGTGCCCAGTTACAAACCTATTAAGATTTCAACTTAGATTCAACAGAGCAGAAGTTGTTAAGCACATGGGGGCAAACTCTTACTGAAGCGACCATACGAGTCATAAATACACTCAGCCCAAGTAAAACTGAAACAAGCAACACTTAGCGCCAGCCAGAGGCTTAGGGCCCGCGCAGGAATATCCCTGCAAAAAAAAAAAAAAAACCCACTGCAGTCTCGCTTTCCACCCGCTCATCCAGCAAGTTATTGGCCACACCTAGCTTCCTACAACTCGCTCACCCGCACATAAATAAGTAAATAAATAAATAACTAAATAAATAAATTATTAATTAATTAATTATATTTATATTTTACGCCTTAGTAAAGTTTATTTTGGAGTTTGCACGGTAGCATTAAGACCTGAATTTGTTCTGCACAGGTTCTGCTACTTAGTGTTATTGCACTTGCCAGTGTTGTGCTTCGGCTCTTTGGTCCCACCTCTTAACTTTGTGTGCAAATTCCCAAGAATGGTGGTAATGTCTAAAGTTTTTTCGAAGCTCTGTATGAATTACTTTATATGGAATTACTAAGTACATTTGGGTACTTAGTAATGCCATGTGTACCTTGTTCGTGTTGTCTTGACTATTGGATCACCCTAATTTGTTTCAAAATTATTTGACATACAACATTGACAATAGTTTTTTCCATGGCCCTCCTCGCTACTTCATCAACAGCTTCATTTAACTATATTCCCACATGTGAAGGGATCCACGTCAATCCCACTTTACAACTTTTTTATATCTTTTTTCTCAACTTTCGTCCACAACATATTGATACACTGGTTTTCTTTAATGACTCAACCGCTCATTTATACTAGCAATATAAAAATAGGCATCTTTACTACTTCCTATAAGATCGCTGATAAAGCTTGAAGTTCAGCCTGCGTTGGAAAAATATTATCAGTTAAGCAATGTCCAATATCAATCTCTACTGTGCCGATGTCAGTGTACTCCATATTCGAAATGGAGTTAGATATGGGCATTCCAATCTCTGCTGAAAAAACCGTAATATTTCAGGAAATTAGAGAAGGCAGAAGAGCAGTTAATGACACTCAAAGGCCAGAAAGCACGAGTATAAAAAGCTATGACATGTTTAGAACCGAAAGTTAGACAGGTTAAATATCACAAAAGGAATCCACAGGGAAATAGCAGTTCGGTTATATAGACTACGTCTAGGTTACAGATGCAACTGGGAGATTGGTGAACCCAGAGAGAGTTCGTCAAACAATCACAGAAAGGTCACTACTTCACTATCTCCTAGAATGTGAAGCAACCAACGACCTTAGATGAGCTTTAAGAGTCCCTGAATCTTGCAATAACCACCCTGAAGCCATCAAAACTACCACTCTTCTGGTCAAAAAAGGTGTCCAGCAGCTGGACACCCTCATAAATACTGTCAAACAGTATCCTTCCCCGTGATAGCAGCCTGACGATTTAGATGCGACCTCAGCACACAGTATACATTCACTCCAAAAAAAAACAAAAAAAACTTACGGGCTATTCATGCCCGTGCCACCTCTTGGTCATAAATCTTCATCAATCATTAGAACCGATAATTATATGTACAGGCAGCATAAAACATCCACTAGACAGTGTGACATTGTAATTGCCAGAATTAGGCTGGGATATCGATATCTATGGCAGGTGGCTGCAGGTAATGAATCCCCCAATAGGGAACATTCCAATTGTAAACTATGTGAACAAGAGCTGGGGCATTCTCACCAACACTATATCTGTGATAGCCCTGTTATCCGTGATTTCAGACCAAATGATATGAGGTTCTTTGAGTACTGTGATTATTTCATTTACTCACGAATATTGGAAGAGATTCTTGTGCTGTACCCTAATTTTGCTAATGGAGGTTAATAGATCAGCCTTACATTTCATGTTCTCTCCTAATTCCATGTATGACTGGCCGTCCTGTGAGGTGTGGATGTTGGATGAGCTTGTAGCTGGTTTCTGATCTACAATACACATATAGAATAGGGTAGCAGCACATTGTTGGGTATACCTAAGCGTGCTAATAAAAAAAAAGTACTCCATATTCATGACTCCACCTACATCCTGCCTGTCCGTCCTTGGCAACCCAATCATCACAATAAACATGCAGTGTTTGCAATGCAATAAACATCATATATTGCTATCAGATGTACGTCTTGTACGTAATCTTTCTTGTTTTTAAATCTGTACACCAGTTGAGAGGCGGGACCAAAGAGCTAAAGCTCAACCTACGCAAACACAACTAGGTGAGTACCTTCGCGTTATATTTTTCCCAGGGTAAAGTTGTTTTCTGAATAATGAAATACATTAATTCTCGTAAGACATCATATTTTGTAACATTAAAAAAAGTTCTCATCTCACTTGTTATACCTTAAAATTTATTTTTTATTTTACTATTTTTTTTATTTTGTATTGAATGGATGAATTTATTAGCTTCCCCGCCTCTCATTAGTCAAATCGACGTAGTTACATTTATCTCAGAAACTGTCCCACAGATACTCTGCAAGTTTAATTCCATCCTCATTACCTCAGTGTAAATATTTCTTGGTCATCCTAAAATTATTTATATGGCTTTGTTTTGTACCTTCACCATTTTGTTTTGTCCAGCCTAGACCAAAACAAAAAATGACAGGTGCAGCATATATCGGTAAGAGATCTCACAGTTCCCATGTATATCATCCGTTCAATTCACCCTCCAAACTTTTAATCAGGGGTAGATAATAATGATGATGATGATGATGGCTAAGCCACCCAATAGGCGACACCGGAAACAGTAGCCTGATGTCGTGTCACGAGTGATTCGTGCGTGATCTGTACCGTGTGTTGAGTGCGCATGTCACACTGGACACGCAGTATACGGCACACTTTACTTTGCCAGGCTTTATATTGTGGGCTGCTATCTTGGGGGAGGATACTGCTTAATAGTATTTATGATGGTATCCAACTGCTGGACACCTTTTATTACCAGAAGAGTGGCAGTGTTGACCGCTTCAGGGATTTCAGGGATACTGCTAGATTCAGGGATTTCTAGAGCACTTCTAAGATCGTTGGTGGCTTCTCGCTGCAGGAGATAGTGAAGCTTGAAGATTTTTCTGTGACTGACAGAAGACCCATGCGCACTATCTGGATTCATTAATTTCGTACGTGCATCTGTAACCTAGGCGTAGCCTATACAATCGCAGTACCATTTTCCTGTGGATTTCTTTTGGAATATGAAACCTTCCTAGCAATGGGCGATATTTCTGCTGTTCTAGATGGGCTTTGTTGAGGTGCGTGAGCTTTTTGGTAATGTGCTTCTTGTAGGTATTCTAGTCTTGGCTGGATTCTTTTGTGGATCATTGGATGACGAGTTACCAATTTAGCTTTTATTGGCTTTTCTTAATTAGTGGGATTCCAGTAAGGGATGGGATCTAGTTCAAGGTTATGTTAAGCCCTTTGCCTTTAGCTACTGTTTTAGCTATTGCTCCTAGATACATGTGGTGAATATTTCCACATTGTCTTTCCATCGCTTCTTTCCTAATACTTGAAATACAACTTTTGAGTCTGTGTGTATGATTGCATTTTGAGTGTTTTGTGCAATCACATGTGCGAATGGAATTTGTTTGACAAACAGCTCAGTTTGGGTTGAAGATACCGAGTAATTGACTTATGATTGATGAAGATTAAGCCACCCAAAAGGGGGCACGGGCATGAATAGCCCGTAAGTGGTACAATTTTTTGTTCAGTAATTCTTTTCAGTATTCTGAGGTTGCATTTTAATCGTCAATCGTGCTATCGCGGGGAAGGATACTGCTTGACAGTGTTTGTGAGGGTGTCCAGCTGCTGGACACCTTTTTTGACCAGAAGAGTGGCTGTGTTGATGGCTTCAGGGTGGTTACTGCAAGATTCAGGGACTCTTAAAGCTCTTCTAAGGTCGTTGGTCGCTTCACATTCCAGAAGATAGTGAAGTAAACATACTGGGTCTGTTAAGTCTCCAATATGTATGTTCGTATTCCGTGTATAGAGCATGTCCAGCACTCTCAGAGTCTGTGTTCACCGACCCTTCTGTGAAGATATGGCTGGCTTCTGTTGTTGCTTTGCTGCTCATTTGTTGTTCTACGATGCGTCTTAGGAATGTTGGATCATAGGGAGTCGTTTTCATTAGAAGATGATCTATTATTATTAACTCCGATCGTTCCAGAAGCTGGGAGGGAAATGAAGAGTTCAAGTATGTTATCAGAGATATGTTTAAAGAAAAGATGTTTAAATTAGGAACCCCATTAAAGGGGAAGTTTTTAGTTCTTTTATTGAATTATACGAATTAACAGAATAGCACCAGAGGATAGAAGTCAATATTGTGACACCACATGCTACAGGTGTGACGACGACTCTTAAGCTGAATGCTGATGACATTCTAATACAAAAAAATGGTAACAAAATTCAATCCATTCTAAATATACAATCACCAGCAGCTTGTGAAAGTGTATATCAAGTAAAGTGCACACTCCAGATGCAAAGTGATATGTGCACGAAAGACCAAATATTGCTCTAGATATTATGCAATGGCTAACGTATAATATCAGGTTATGTTACAAGGTCAGGGAGAAGCCTTATATTGAGCTTGTAGATAGCTCACAAGTGATGGCGCCATCTTGGGTAGTGGAAAACCCGAACGATGTGAATAGCGGATTACATGGAATTTAACCAGAGTATTAATACTTGGGTGTGATACCAAATCAACTCCCTTGGCGACGTCACACAAACTCTAGGAAGGAACCATTAAAGATGCTACCCTCCGATTGGTGAATTCATATAAACGGTCGTTGAGGCAAGCAAGACCAGTCGTGAGAAACAAAACATTGAGTGGGCGTGGATTCATCAGAACCTGTACATCTTCTCAATCTTTGGCGACTATGTTTACATATATTAAACAGTTTATGAGCTCCGAAGTACTAGGGTGATTATAACTAACATTTGACTGGGCACTTTCGATGCTGGTAAACTGTTTAGTAAATGTGGGTAAAGTTAGAGAAAAGATGTACTTGTTGAATCCTGGTGCAGTCTGCCAACCTGGAGAAAATAGAGTTCAGTCCCTAAACCCATTATCTGCCTCTAATTGTTCCCACTAACGCCCACAGGATGGGCATGGGCTGCATAATAAATGAACTAAACAAAAAAAATATTGAGTAACGCTGCTGTTATCACCACGAACCCAGAATCATTCATGGGGTAGCGACAGATAATACAAGGCCGTAGTGAAAATGAGGATCGCGCTACCTCTCCGGCAGGCGTGCCGGTCACATCACACACGGGTTCCAGTACCCCCAGAACCTCTGAGAAAAAATAAAGCCTCCCTCACCAGTATTCAAATTTTCCCCTTGCCACATCAAGGCAGTGCCCACAAGGTGGTTTGTGGCTCAAAGACTTGTAGCGAGTAAACCTTATACTCGCTCCAGTCTCATTGGCATCACTAATTAGCACTAACTACACAAGCTATAATCCTATCCCTATTTACAGGTAACATTCTTTCCATCCTGGTTGGAGGAAGATGAAGTAGTCGCCGAATATAAGCAAGCGATATGAGAATAGCCAACAGTACAATTTCCAGTCAAGAATGTAGCACTCTGCGTATGCAGTTTTAATCGACCCCAAGATGCTACAGCTTCGACACAGAACAGACAGCAGACTAGGACCGCATCCAGCTACAACGCTCTCCCACAGAGCTCTGCGACTCCGGCCTCACTCAGCTCTCTGCTCTGCTTCAAGCTCCGTCTCAACGTCTACGACACTGCTGTATCCAAGACTGCTAAATAAATATGAAAACCCACTGAACACTAATCTACTCAACAGCGTAACATAAGCGTACGTTACAGACTTAAGGCAGATTCTTCTCATTTTAAAATGAAGTACGAGAGTTTTCAGCTTCTAGTGTCTAGTTATTGTCTAGATGGTGTCAAGTTTGAAAATTCGTTGTGAATACGACATCACACCTTAGGTGAGACGTGTGTCACGGGATGTGACAAGAGGCAGAGAGGTCCAACGTGGAGATAACGGTTACCTACTGGGGTCGATATAATATTTCTGATCTTCTGTAATCAGAGAATATCCATGCCAATTTGTGACTGAAATCTTTACGCGTTTGAAATGATAAAAACAATTAGTTAAAAGTAGAATAGTTTGTATTTTCCATCAGTGTGTTACATATACATAGTTGAAGCAGGGCAACACGGCCTGCCGATAAAGTAACCGTCACAAACTACAGTCTTACCCATGATGGTCGTCCCAACTGTACAGTTCTTTCTGACAATTTTAATTGCATAATGCATCCTGGTGGTCTAACTGAACAGCCAATTCAGGTGGAGGTTCAAGTTACAAAATGTGCTCTGGAAGCTTAGACTGTCCTGTTAACTATGGTGCTTGTTTCAGACTGTACAAAACGCCTAAATTAGCATTCCGGATTGCACAGCAAGTTTTGAAAGCGATTCCAGGCAGTAGTGTGGCATGGTGCATTCCAGACTGCAATTCATCATGCGACTGTTCAAAACTTCATTTGCTTTTAATGCTCTTTGGACTTAGTCGGAACGTCCTGGATTCAGAACGAGTCATGGTCGTCCCTGGATGTTTAACGCACCGATTATTCTCTCAAACAGTAGCAATCCCTCCGACGTCCTCCTGGGGATGGTAAACTTCATAAAACTTTCCCCAGATGTTTCTGCACTAGTGCACTCGTCTTAAGAGTCATTACTATGCCTGAGGCATGTGTCAGAAACTGGTCAGCTTGTAGAGAGAGTTCGTGTAGAAGCGGGTGACTGGGGTGAAGCCAATGTAGTTAGAGACCATGATGACGGCATAGTAGATGTAGCCCTCACTGCCCACAATCTTTGCCATGGTGTGCTCCCCTGCAAATAAGAACCGAAATTAAAGTAATTATGTGGTCTACGGCGTAGAATACACTGAGGAATAATAAGGTGCAAAATATATAAACACAATGTAACACCAAACAATGGATACAAATTACAAAAGTTTAAAAGAAAACACCTTTATATACTGATTTGTAAACAGGATTGTTCGTCAATGTATCTATTTCGGATTACAAAATAGTCGTGTTGGGTGTATAAAAAAGATAAATTGAATTACACAGAAATTACAACGTGATGCATCAATGAACAAATCCACAAGGGCCGTGACGAGGATTCGAACTTACGTCCGAGATCCCAGACGCTGCCTTAATCGACTGAGCTACGACATGGTCAAATGAAGTAATGAAGTAAAGGCGAAGAGGTAGAACGGCCTATTGACATAGCTGGAGTGCATGGGGGAGTTGTGTAAAACCCTGGTTTGTGTCTGAGAGGCTACAGGATCCAGTAAGTTCAGTAGAACTTCGGTTTCAACTGTTTTGACCATGTCGTAGCTCAGTCAATTAAGGCAGCGTCTGGGGTGATCTCTGACGCAGGTTTGAATCCTCGTCACGGGCCTTGTGGTTTTGTTCATTGATAAATTTAATTTAAAAATTGCTGTATTGCTTCGATGGTTGGTTAGGCAGGCATATTTGAGCGAGTTCAGGCGGGTATAAAAATTAACAGCTCTTGTGAGCTGCTGCTGTAATTTCTCAATTCCTATGAACGACGCATGTGTTTATGTTAGGGGGGGCGGTAATAAGCACGCATTAGTCACATCAAAAGGGAAATATAATGAAAGGAGATGGAACACTATACTTATGATCCACGTTTTGTATATATTTGGCGTTTGCCATTTGTTCTTGAGCGACAATAAAAAATCCACCAGGTTAGACATAGGCAGTTATAGTCTTCCAGACGATTCAATCTTGCAGATTACACACACATCACAATAGCGTGATGCATCAAATGAACAAATCCACAAGGGCCGTGACGAAGTTCAATAAAACTTCGGTTTCAACTCTTTTGACCATGTCGTAGCTCAGTCGATAAAGGCAGAGTCTGGGATGATCTCGGACGTAGGTTCGAATCCTCGTCACGGCCCTTGTGGATTTGTTTAATGTTATAGATTTTTATAAAAATAATAGAAGATTCGACGCCTGGAAGCGGGCACGTTTGCTCACTCACCGAAGAAGGCGATGCAGAGTGTCCTGAAGGTAAGAGAGATAAGGGTCATGATGGTAATCTTGACCAATGGCAGGAGGAATATGGAGAGCAGGTTGTATATCACCGGCCAGATGATGCTCCACAACCCTGCTGCGCGCGCCTCACCTCCCAGTCCCATCATGGCCTCTTCATCCTACTAGGCACATTAACGGTTATCCATTTTCTTTTCCAGAGTTTCATGAACATTCAAAGCAACTTCCAACAATCCTAAATAAAATGCAATATCAAGTACAGTATAATTATAATAGGATAGGTGAATGATCACAGTTATGGAGGTCATCGAGAACCTTCCACATGAGAGAATCAGAAAGAAAGATCAATACAGGAAAGGTTGCGAGTGCCCGAGTTAACATGAGTTGGCTTCAGAGTATTCGCAACTTGTCCTCTTAAAAATAACGTCGCTTTTGTCCGTTTACCAGTATGGCCGAAAGTGGACGTAATTTGAAAATGAAAAAAAAAAATGAAAATAAATTTGGGATTTTTTTTTCAACAACAGTAAGTTAAGGGTCCTCTGATAGGTTAGGTGGGCAGGAAACTCAAAGTTTCAAAACGTTATGAAAAACGTTAATTGAAAGTTTCCTCTCCTAACCTTTCCGAGCAAGCCGGGCAACTCAAACAGAAAACGGGACAGTACGTCAAGTTTTTGAGTATTTCATTTCAAATTACGTCCAAATTTGGCCCTAGCGCGCATACGAGCCAAAAGTGACGCTATTCAGGAGCAGGCCGTGCTCAGGGAGGAGGTCTCCGCGGGGCCACCCTAGACACACTCACTCTCAGATATGATACAAAATACAAAAGTACAAAATACTGTACTAAATCAATTTTAATACATGCACAATGTACCCAAAAGGTTTTAGCCGGGTCCGTAGTATAACATTTCACTTACTCATTCACTTACCAATTCAGGGACTCTGATAAGAACACATACGCTGACAAGCACAAATATATTAAGGAAATATTCTCTAAAATTATTAAACAATAGTGAAATGTCGTCAATGCTGAATGAACAATTTTCAACTGTAGAAATAAACCAGCAATTATTTACGTTATGCAGCATTACATAATAATGCACTTTAAACTATTAATCTTTATAAATGTCATTCACATGAAATATGTAGAATCAAAGAATATTACATCACTTACCGTAAGGCTCGGCATGAGGGTCATTAGCAATGCTTTCAGGATAGTAGTTAGTTCATTGGTCACCAGAGGGTCCTTCTCGCTGGATGCCGCCTTCACACCTTCAGTGTTCATCTGACAGCCGCGTACATCATACATCAAAACAAAACATCTTTGCCCGAAACGCTACGCGTACTAGTGGCTGTACAAGAATGTAACAACTCTTGTATATATCTCAAAAAAAAAAAAAAAAAACATCAGATTGAACCCAGATTAACAATATGAATTGTCGAGCAAATGTGAATTAAGAATTAAAAAAGAAATGGACAAGCTATCGAGATAGCAATTCAAGTGGCACTCGTCCAACTGGTTCTCAGTTTTCTTGCATAGTTGACACTGTTCAACTGTATGTTGCACGTCACACTCGGGACTCATGGCAGCGACAAAAAATATTGCATAGTAACAAGGAACAACATTTTGTTAATTCAAATCCAAGTTGAGAATATTATGAACATCCGAATATGAACGCCATTGAAGGTATAGAATGGAGTCGAGGACACGAGTTTATAAAAACCAAGTGAGCGGAATTACAGAACAGTTTGGAACCCTTGTTCCTACCTGTAGCTCCCCCCTCCCCTTACAGCCACGTTCTCACCTGTATCTCCCCCCCCCCTACTACCACACCCTACAACAACCACCTCACCTGTGCCCCGCCCCTACAACAACCACCTCACCTGTGCCCCGCCCCCTACAACAACCACCTCACCTATGGGCCCCCTACAGCCACCTTCTCGGCTGCACACTCCTGCTACACAATAGACTGGGCTAGGAAAATTTACAGCAGCTGCTGCGACAAATAGATACATTCATGTCACAAACCCTGCATTGTTTTCTGTTAACATTGCATGTAAATGAAAGCAGCAGACATGAGTTCAACATTCTCATGATAAAGTGTTCTTATTTTGTTAAAGTACAATACATTACATATGATAGTCGCTTTGAAATTCTTTCATGGACCCACGATAGGAATCCACTGTTCTAAGGGCCTAGGCCAACGACTCGCTTTTAATGCAACCCACAATAGGTGCCGGGTCCCCATTTCCTGCTAAGTGAACCGAGGTATTAGCTCGATATAATGTATTTTCAAATTATTTACCTTCCTTTATGATCCGTATATATAAACCTTAAGGCGCTCTCACACCTTCCTCCATGTCTTGTCAGTTGCTAACTGGCATCGCAACCCGTCCTCGACTCAAGTCCATTACATCCAGCGATCGACGCATTCATAAATTTGTACATGCTGTTCATTCAAAACAGGAATTTTCTCATATAAATTAATATCATAATATGTAAGCATATTGTGCATATATTGGCATAGCTTAGGTTAGGTGTTCAGATTCTATTGGGGATTATTTGTATTTGTAGTTCGTGGTTGAAGCATTTACAGCGTTGTGGTTCGAACAAAATTTGTCAGTCAAGCACTTGTTCCGGCAGTGTTTGAACGAAATCAGTTGTGAGTCGTGTGTAAACCGTTTTTCATTCATAAACAGGGGGTTTGGCGGGTGCATGGAATCACTTTTGGGTCTTTGTTTGGAGGACGGGCTGGACGATGTTCAAACATTTTCTCAAACAGTGCTTCGATCATACCTCTGCTCGAGTTCAAGTTCAAATATGTTTATTGAGACAAGAAAAAATACATCTCAAAGGGATAGAGTAGCTTAGGCTATTTCTACCCCCTCTACTTCAAGTCCCTCAAGGGGCGCACAAATTCAGTGAGTACAAATACACAAATCACAATACAAGAATGCCCTTTAACATTGCAGGTTAATATAGTAAGCACAGGAACAAATCCACAAGGGCCGTGACGAGGATTCGAACCTGCATCCGAGAGCATCCTAGACACTGCCTTAATCAACTGAGCTACGACATTGTCAAAGTGAGTTAAATGCAGGTTCGAATCCTCGTCACGGCCCTTGTGGATTTGTTCATTTGATGCATCACGCAATTGTGATTTCTGTGTGTAATAGTAAGCACAGCATATAATTGTTACACTCTTGGGGCAAAATTCTTGTAGCTTCTAAGTATACTGTCTATCATACCATTATCACACATCCAAACAATTTGATGTGGTACACTACTTATTTCCTTACTTCTATAGTAATCAATAAGTTAACACTCTAATGCATAATGTTCTAAGGTGTGGGCGTGCGGCATACTACATAATTTACACTCCTTATCTTTTTCACTGACATCAACACCGTATTGCCAGATATATTTGTATCCTAATCTTAATCTCACGTAAATTGAATCCTTCCAAGTAGACTTTCCTCTACCATAGGTGAAGGACGAGTTTGTATTTATTATTGAATAATTCTTAAGTGTGTTACTACTGTCCACCATTGCCATTTTCTTTATCATTTCTTCCCCCTCTTGGATCATCTTGATTCTTGTTTTTATTTGTTTCAAGGTTATCTGACATACAACATCAGCAAGAGTTTTTTCCGTGGTTCTCTTTGCTATCTCATTAACTACCTCATTCAACAGTATTCCCACATGTGAAGGGATCCACATGAATCTTACCTTATACCCAGTTTTTTCTAATTTCTTAATATTCTCTCTACACTCTTATCACAATATTCTGGTATACTGGGCGTCTGCTATTTAAAGACTCTAACGCTCCTCTACTGTCAATAAAGAAGCAGGCATTTTTACCACATTTGACTACTTCCTGTAATCCTGCTAATACACCTTGGAGTTCAGCCTGCGTTGAGGAGACATTGTCAGTTAAGCGGCGTCTAATAACAGTATCTACAGTGCCGATGTCGGTGTACTTCCTGATCAAGACTCCACATCGTGCCTTCCCATCCCTAGCTACTGACCCATCACAATATACTGTACATGTAGAGTGTTTTCTGTAGGTCGCTCACGAGACATCTCCCGTCACGCAGGGTGCAGTCGCACCTCCACAGATCTCCAGTATCATCTATTGATACTGGAGATCAATGGTTCTGGATGATCAATATTGATAATGGCTCAAAAGGGCCACCACTTACGGGCTATTCATGCCCGTGCCACCTTTTGGGTGGCTTAATCTTCATCAATCAATCTGTAGGTCGCTCCTGTGCCAGGTAAGTCCCCTACGGGCTCAACATAGCCTGCGCTACTTGCCCCGCTCCTGTGCCAGGTAAGTTACTGGCTCACCATAGCCCGTGCTACTTGGAACTTGTTGCGAGTAGTTGAATCTATAACAACAACATGTACATATATGTACATGTATGTATGAGAAGGTGTACGTGTATATATAACATTAATAATTTTGTAACTAGCGTCAAAAGATTGTTATTTGCTTAGCTAAACGAACTAGAGGGTTCAGTTCCTGAACCGATTATGTGCCTCTGTAATCCTTTACACCACCGCCCACGGAATGGGTATGGGGTGCATAATAAAGAAAGAAATTGAATTGCCCAAAATGTTATGCGTGCTAGTGGCTTTACAAGAATGTAAAACTTCAATCCTCTGTACTCTGCCGCCCAGTTGGGTGGGTGTGCAGCAAGACTAGTAACTGTGTGACTCACTATAGATGTAAAGTGCCTCGTATAGTGACTGTTGTGAGCCTCTTGTAATGCCACTTGTGACACAAAGATTATTGATGTGTGTATTTGTGTGGGTGATTAGATATGTATGTGTATGTATTTGTGTATACGTATATATATATATGTACATGTATGAGGGTGTGTACATGTGTATACAACATTGATAATTTTGTAACTAGCGTCAAATATTGTTATTTGCTTAGCTAAACGAACTAGAGGGTTCAGTTCCTGAACCGATTATGTGCCTCTGTAATCCTTTACACCACCGCCCACGGGATGGGTATGGGGTGCATAATAAAGAAAGAAATTGAATTCTGTACTCTCATAAACCCATTGTACCTTCTTGCACATAAATAAATAAAAATAATAAAATAATTGTGTACATTATTATTATTATTATTAATAATGTTATTATTATTATTATTATTATTATTATTATAACAAATATTCTCAATAACTATAATTTATACATATGCATTGCATACTAAGTAACCCTTGTAAACTACGCCATTGTATATCTATTTATAAATCATTATCATTATCAATATCATTATTATAATAATTTTCATTATTATTATTATTATTATAGCTATAGCGTAATCATGGGCTTATTATAGCTGTTGCACATAAATACTTCTGCAATATGTAGACATGCACTGCATAGCTGATACCCTTAAAGATATTGAGGTAATGTTTTCTTAACAGTAAAATATGACACATTTAATATGAGGATTTAATTAGCACAATGGGAGGTGAATAGTTAAATAATGAAGTATGATAAATCAAGCAGGATGGGAACCATGAGGCCAGTCGGGCGGCAAACACAACAGGTGCTGTGGGTGACGACACAACAACAGCTGATTTACTCCACGTGTGGACGCTCCTGACTACTACACCATGTTTTGGGGTGAGCTAAGTTCATAGACTATGGAAAAAGTTTAGTTCCTGCTTAATTCATTGCATTTTCCTATACGATCAAGTTTTGTAGAAGCAAGAGAGCGCCAGGCGGCCATTTCTATTGGTATTTATATGGGTACCTGGCGGTCAGTGTAGGGCCAAATGTTTAGTACATTCCCCTGACAACTAGGTACACCAGATCTCGTTGTCTTTCACGAGGAGGTAAAAATAATGTAGAGAACCTTTGTAGAGAACTCCAAATTAAATCGGTCCAAAGCTAACAGTAGGTCTAGGACTGGAGATTAGTCTACAAAGCCCGTGGCACGCGAACAAAGTTTACTGGCACGCGGCAAAAATGAACAAATATTCGGCGCATTAGTGACTTGCTAGAGAATAGAAACTAAAAAATTGAATATTAAAGTTGTAAACTAAAGACTAACTAAAGATATTGGTTCATGTAAAGCCCTTTTCATAATTGTGATAAGAGCTACATCAGGCTAGGCTAGCCATTATTGCTCTATTTTGTAGGATAGATGAAATGCGAACTTAGTAATCCTATGGTGGTTGAAATCCATTATTGGCTGTTTATCACTAACAAATTAAGGTGGTTGAATTTTGAGGCATTTCCAGCCATATTGGTATTACCTTAAATACCAATGGGTTGCTGGGGAGGGTTGATTGGGTGCCAGTCCTTAACTGTGCGCTTTTGTTCACCTAGAAGTGAAAGGATATTGGGTTGTTATACGTTTTGGTGGGTCATATTCCAGGGAAAATTAGAATCTAGGACCTTCCCAAAATGTTATGCATGCTAGTGGCTTTCATGTAATGTAACCCTATGCATGCTAGTGGCTTTACTGTAACTTATGCATGCTAGTGGCTTTAATTTAATGTAACCTATGCATGCTAGTGGCTTTACTGTAACCTATGCTTGCTAGTGGCTTTCGTGCCCAAGTGCAGTTAAAAGCTCTGCATGTCAAGGTAGAGTCCTTGCACCACTGCTTTTCCTTATTCTCATATCAAATATAGACAAAAATACAAGTCACAGCTTCGTGGCATCCTTTGTAGATGATACAAAAATCAGCATGAAAATTACCTCTGCAGAAGACATTGAAAAACAAGCAGATATCAACAAAGTTTTTGATTGGGCAACAGAAAATAACATGTTTAACAGTGATAAATTCCAGGTACTCGGGTACGTCAAAAATGAGGATCTGAAACATATTTCAGGGTACAAAACACAATCAAATCTGCCCATAGTAGGAAAACAGCATGTCAAGGATTTGGGAATACAGGTAATGATGTCCGACGACCTAACGTTTAGGGAGCATAACCAAGCAAGTATTGCAGCAGTCAGAAAAGTGATAGGATAGATTACAAGAACTTTCAAATCCAGAGATCCCATCACAATGGTTGTACTCTTAAAGTCACTTGTGTTGTTCCGTCTTGAGTACTGCTCAGTACTCACTCCCCTCTTCAGAGCAGGAGAGATTGCTGAAGTAGAGGGAAAACTATTAACATATACAGCACACATAGACGCAATAAAGCACCTAAATTATTGGGATCGTCTCAAAGCTCTTTAAATGTACTCACTAGAAAGGAGACGAGAGAGATATCAAATAATATACACATGGAAAATACTGGAAGGCCAGGTCCCAAATTTACACAGTAAAATAACAACATACTGGAGTGAACGATACGGAAGAAAACACATAATATTACCAGTGAAGAGCAGGGGTGCCATAGGCACAATCAGAGAACACTGTATAAACATCAGAGGTCTGCGGTTGTTCAACGTCCTCCCAGCTATAAGAAATATTGCCGGAACAACCGTGGACATCGAGAGAAAACTGGACTGTTTTCTAAGAGAAGTTCCGGATCAGCCGGGCTGTGGTGGGTATGTGGGGCCTACGGGCCGCTCCAAGCAACAGCCTGGTGGACCAAACTCTCACAAGTCGAGCCTGGCCTCGGGCCGGGCTTGGGGAGTAGAACAACTCCCAGAACCCCATCAAGCAGGTATCAAGCAGGGGTGGTTCTAGATAGAAAACTGTCACCTGCGGACCTGGACCTGGAAGCTGGAATATGCAGCGGTTGCATGGTGCCCATATCTTGAGAAGCACATCAACAAACTGGAAAAGGTGCAACGACATGCACCTAAGTTGCTCCCAGAACTGAAGGACAAGAGCTACGAGGAGAGGTTAGAGGCATTAAATATGCAAAAACTAGAAGATAGAAGAAAAAGAGGCGATATGATCACTACGTTCAAAGTAGTAACAGGAATCGATAAAATTGATAGGGAAGAATTCCTGTGACCCGGAACTTCAAGAACAAGAGGTCATAGATTTAAACTAATGGAACAAAGCTGCCGGAGAAATGTACGAAAATTCACTTTTGTAAACAGAGTGGTAGACGGTTGCTACAAGTTAAGTGAGAAGGTTGTGGAGGCCAAAACAATCGGTAATTTCAAAGCATTATATGACAGAATGCTGGGAAGACGGGACACCACGGGCGTAGCTCTCATCCTGTAACTACACTTAGGTAATTACACTTGGGTAATTACCACTGGCTGCCACTCCCTCCCTCACCTCACCTAACTTGCCAACATTCTCTTCCCACTATATTGTTTTTTTGCTTTTATTCACTATATACAGACGTTATATATAAGTATCTGCATGTTTTGTTCACCATAGCGGAACAAGTTCCAAGTAGCACGGGCTATGGTGAGCCCGTAGTGGACTTACCTGGCACAAGAGCGGTGCTGTGTGTGGTAGTAGGGATGGCAGTCCAGCATCCTCTTTTGTTTTTTGGAAAAAGGACGCTGGACTGTCGGGTTTCCAGTTAAATTAGCGAAGAGGCCGCTGTCCAGGCCGCTGGACTATGATAATTTCATAGAAGTTTGTTGAGTTCTTATGGGGAAAATTCAAAATTTTTCAGAGTTCACTTTTATGAAAATATTTCAGAGTTCATTTTATCATAGAAGTTTATTTAGGAATTTATGTCCGAAATTTAGAAAAACAACCATTTTTATAGAATATGTTCATAGAAGTTTTGACAAACAAGACAGACAGACATCTTGAAAACAGACATCTTGGCCGTGACTTTAAGTTTTATATCCATTTATGGCTGTTTCACCTGTAAAAGACCGAAATTGAACAGAGACCAGTTTAAACACCAAAAATTATTCAGAGACCATTTGAAGACCGATTTTCTTCAGCGTCCATGGATGACCAAAATATAACAGACCATTTGAGGACCAAAATAAGACATTACTTTAGACCCAATTTTCTTCAGAGTCCATTTATGACAGATTATATTACTCAAATTAGTCAGAGACCAGTAAAAATTTTCTGAGTCCAGTAAAGACAGAAAATTAATCAGAGACCATTTTCAGACTAATTTTCATCGAGTCCAGTTTATGCCCAAAAATCGCTATAGTCAAGTAAAGACCGAAAATTCATCAGAGTTCAATAAAAGACCAAACTTAGTCAGAGTTCCATAAAGACCGACAATTTGTCAGAGACCATTTTAAATTTTACTTACACCTACGTTCTTAGAGTTCTTATGGAGAAAATTCAAATATTGTCAGACTTTGTTTGAAGACTTAAAATGAATAGAGTCCAGTTTAAGCCCAAAAATATTCAGAGACCATTTTCAGACCAATTTTCATCAGAGTCCAGTTATGCAACTCGTCACATAATGTGTTGCACAGTTTAACCACCGTGCTGTGCGGAGTTTATTGTGAAATTCTCCCGGTGCGCATGAAATAAAGTGTTCCCCAAAAATACTTTTTTCTTCGTAAAATGATAAATTCTCTTCCCTGAACATGTCTATGTAAAAATAAATACGAAATTCCACTTACTTTGGCTGCGGGGACATGGACAAGGTGCGCTGTGACGTCATCAGGGCCTGGCCACCTGTGTGTGAATCGCCTAGACATGGTCGCGCGGGGCCATTCAAGCACCGGGTGTTGCCACAAATATATTTTTAATTATTTATTTTATGTATTTCCAATGCAGTTTTATTTGTTTTTTTTATCGTATATGATGCATATTTGTGTCCTTTACAATATGTATACAGTAGAACGTTCATAATGTTCCATAGAACTGTGATACATGCGTCAGTAATGTGTCCACAATAAATGTTTATTGTCGCAATATTACCTGTTAAAAATTCGCTAAAATTACAATATGTTCAGTTTCACACACTATTTACACAGTAACACACTGTATTATACAGTACTTCGGAAGTGAGCAATAATCAATGAAGTAGTCCATGGTACACAGCGCGACTTCGCTCTCAGTGCACCAGGTACAGATAAATTTTCGCTTCCTGTTTCTTCATTGTGTGCGCTTGCAAATAACGCACTCAAGTACACCCTTGGCTTTAGTACTTGTAGATTGTATGTAGCCAAGCTTGTAAAGCATAAGGTAGTATTGAAAAGATTATAGGAAAAGATCAATTTGTAAGGTTGTCTTGAAAAGATCGCTTTTGTATGGTCCCACACAGGAAGAGCTTGCCTCAAAGAGTGTCCGTCGGTCAGGAAGAGATTCAGGTATGCTTGAAAATATCTATGGAAAACACCACCATGGAAGCCGCTAACACTGTTCATCTATGCTACTTGTATCAGATGCATCATCACTGAATGCAGAAAACAATTCATCTATGTATCATCTAAATAAATTGGAAATAGCATAGGATTGCAAGGGTGAAGCTCAGAGCTACAACTGGATACGCTCGCTGTATCGTCCTCATAGGTGCTGTATCACTTGCATCCGACCTTTGTGTTAGGTCCTTATTGAGCCTAGCTTCACCAATATTATGACCCTTATGTTCTTCAAACAAAAAGGTTTGAATTTCACCGATAGAGTGTTATCTTTCAACACCGCGTTGGACAGGTGTTTGGGAGCCACCGATAAAGTGTTATCTTTCAACACCGCGTTGGACAGGTGTTTGGGAGCCAGATGCGCATGTGCCACCCATGGTTGCTCATTCAGTAATAACCCAGCCAGCAGCCCTAGGGCATTCTGGGAATTTTTTCCAAGATAGCTGCCTTTTACTGGAGGTCCTAAGAGTCCATTCGTACACAACCAACCTCGTACACATTTAGAATTGGTACCGAAAAATTAGAGTTTTCTCGGTTGGCGCAGTTTCCCGCCGACCGAGAATACTAGGTTGGCGCAGTTAAGTGGTTAAGGGTTAATACCATTGACTATAGTCAGATCATGTTTAGTTTTATTGTAAATATATTTCATAAGGAGATCCTTGGTGAGAGGTTTTAATAGAAATTAACTTAAACAGCGCATAATTGTAATTTTATGAGTGAAAATTTGTTTTTTAAGGTTTTATTTTGTATAAAATTTTCTACTTTTCAGGTTTGACACTCGAGCCAGGTAAACGCTACACGAAAACTGTGGACAACCCTTTCCACATATCAGCTGCAGTCCTAGATACTTCAGCCTGCGATGATGATGTTGTCAGGGTAACGTTTATATTGAAATTTATTTTTAAATATTCTGAATTCCATGTTGAATATTATATAGACTGACAAGATTGTTGTGACGGAGACCTGGATAGGTCTCTGATCTAGATATTACATTTGAGTGCATTACCCATTTATATACTGTATAGACAGTGCTGTAGAAGCACCTTATAATTTATAAGTGGAAATGCTTATGTCAGGTGCCTAGTTTACCAATTTTTTTTTTATAATTGGTTAATTGAAATAAAAAATGCTCTAATTTTCTCACATTTTTCAATGATATCATGACCTAACAGGAAATTGACTCCTTCACATCAAGTTTGCAGATGATGCAAAACTAATGAGAGAAATTGGAGTTGAGTGTGACTAAGACCAGTACCTTGCAAGGTTGGGGGGATGGGGGGGGGGGGGTGGAACTGGATGCTGGAAAAATATACAATGAAATTTTAAGGGTGTGTAGCCAAAAATCGCACACAACAGCAACACTTCTATTACCCAGTAATGTCTAATATTGAACATTTTAAATATTACCAAAGCAAATTTCTTTTTGCAGTGCAAAGAAGCAGATTAACCCCTTAACTGCGCTGCCTCCAAATATGACCCCCCCCCCTCCCCCAGTGCGCAGGAAATAAAATCTCTGGAAAAAAATTCTTTTCTGTTTTGAAAGTGTCAGAAACCCTTCCCCGAGTAAGGGTATAGTAACAAGGTCGAAATTGTACGTACTTTTGCTGCTATGGGGTCTGTAAGTTCGTGTGTGACGTTATCATTCCCTGGTTGCCCGTGGCGTACTCCCCTCGGGCCGGTAGGGAGCTCGGGGCAGGATGCGCGAGTTGCCGCAAATATATTTTTGTTCATTTTCTGCGCACAGTTCCAAATACATTTTATATGCTTTTACGTGCCAATCCTTATGTATTATGAACATGTACACTATATTATGGCAGAACAACATCCGTACTGTCCGAAGACACTGTTACGTGCATGACATGTGTACACATATCCGTCACATATTTCCATTGTATCATGCTAATTTATGTATATATAGTCTATTTACACACTATACACTATCACACACTATATACATTTACCATGAACACACTCAGAACTCTGCGAGTGTCAGCTGCCACACCCTCACTCCAACATTAGGGAGCCGGTCGGCCGAGCGGACAGCACGCTGGACTTGTGATCCTGTGGTCCTGGGTTCGATCCCAGGCGCCGGCGAGAAACATTGGGCAGAGTTTCTTTCACCCTATGCCCCTGTTACCTAGCAGTAAAATAGGTACCTGGTTGTTAGTCAGCTGTCACGGGCTGCTTCCTGGGGGTGGAGGCCTGGTCGAGGACCGGGCCGCGGGGACACTAAAAAGCCCCGAAATCATCTCAAGATAACCTCAAGATAACAACATCTTACTCGCCAACATTGCTCCTCCCACCATACGGTTATTATTTGTATTGCACTATTTATACATGTTATGTATACCTATCTACATGTTTTATTCACCAGAACTATCCAAGTAAGCCGGTATTGTGTCCAAACTTTACAGTGGCCACCATACACTGCATGAGAAATCACACAGCAGCCAGCAGACAACGCTACGGTTACGTCACCTCCCTCATCAAAATAGCTCCTCCCAACATACTCCTGTTGCTGTTACTACACTGTATACACACACATGGTATATACCTATGTACAAATGTGTTCACCATAGCGAACCACTAAGCTAGTATGATGAGCAAAACAAGAGTGGCTGCCACACACAATGAGGCTACCTCGATTCTCTCCCTTGCTCCCTCACCACAATTCCTCCTCCCACAATACTATGCACAGTGCTTATTATCGCCACAATCCTGCTATTATCACAATACTGGTCACTAAATCCTGTAAATACATAATTGACCACACGTTTATTTTGTAAAGGAACCTAAGAAGTTGTTTGAAGATTCCTAGATGGACAAAATAATGCTGTGTTGCTGTGGCTCGTGCTGTGAACATCGTGAACAGCATTGAATCACTAATATTTGAACATTGTACACAGTCATTATCACACTCGGGCTCTTTTGTAATACTATCATGGCTAAATAATACAAGTTATATATATATTTTGACATAATTAGGCGATGCTGTGGTCACAAGCTGAACAGCAGTGCTGTGAGCTCATGCTGCGTGTGCCGGCCTTGGTTGCTCACTTGGTACTGACTGCTCTCACACCCGGGAATGTGGACTACAATTTTTTTTAAAGATGGCGTCTGTTTACAAGAGCCCTTAGGAAGCTGATGTGAACCCCATGTAGCCGCGGGAGTTTTGAATGGAACATGAAAAAGCCAAATACCAGGAGGCGCATAGCGCACCCCAGGCGTGGGCCTGCAGGCGTGTTGTGCAGTTAAAGGGTTGAAGCTTGTCCTCGTGACAACCAACAATTTTGGGTGGAAAAACAAAACTGACTGGTCATTTCCCAGATCTTCTCAAAATAATTTGACGATCCAATGATTCTAAACATACTCTCTGATCCAGTTGATCTAAACACAAGTATCAAGGACTTCAAATTTGGAGGCAATGTTTTTTATGCTAAAGCATGCCTATGAACAAAACAATGGGTAACTACTAATAAAGACAAATCAGAAGCAAAATCAGAAATATTCAGGCACAGGCAGAAGTGGAGAGGAGAAGTATAATGTATGAGAGAAGTCAAACCATGCAATGCTACATGTATGCGAGTCAAAACACCCATTTCACTTATGGTAAAAGGAGAAATGCTTGGAGTGACTGTGTACATGCAGCTCAGGCTTGGGTACAAATATTACTGGGAATATGGGATAGGTGTTCATGATAATGACACGAAGTGTAAACTATGTGGTATGTTAAGGTCTCACACCCTAGCTCATTATGTTCTTGATTGTCCGTTGATTAATGTATATGGAAACACTGAGATAAGGACTGTTCCTGAACAAATAGCCTGGATGTGTCACAACGGAAAGGTTGATGATATTCTTGAGAGATATAAGAATTTTGCACCAAGACTAATTTTTTGTTGAATTATCTGCATTCTCTTGCAAATTGTCTATACAGTATACCTAGGTCATAAAAGTATTTATGTGTATGTCTGATACCATACTAGTGGTGTAAAGGAGGAAATGTATGTTTATCTCTCGGAATGTTTGGTAATATGTTTGTTTGTGATGTGTGTCTATGTATGTATTAACACGATGTACTGAACGGGGTGAGAATAGCCTGAGCTACCTCATCCCTTTGTGTGTATTTTACCTCAATAAACTTGTTCCAATTTCAATGGGTAACTTGAAAGTCTGGAATGGCTTTCATCAATGCAGAAAAGTCAGATTAATTTCAAAGCATTGCAGGTGCCCCATCAGTGCACACACAAACAATAACTTTGATATTAAATAACTCTTAACACTTTATTGCACAGTGCGCGCGAGACCCACACTACCCCGGGTGGGCCTCAGCATTTCACGGGAGCGCACGGTAATTCTGAAAAGTGTACAGTATATTCTTTTCAACTTTGTCACCTCAATTCTTGTCCAAGGTTTTTCAATTTGGTATCATTGTGTTCGCAATAGAATTCTCTACAGGACTGAAGGCATATAAAGTCCAAAAGCCCGGCGTACCATCCACAACAAACAGAAAGTGAGTGCGTGTTACCCGGGAGTATTACATTGTATACACGTTATATATAATAAACATTTTTATGAACCATAATGATCCAATTATGAACCATAATATCATTATGGTTCATAATTTGTATGAACCATAATGGAATGGTAACTTGTGCCATTCTTTACTGGTATTATCGTACTTAATGTGGCTCCAATTGTGGAGCCATATTAAGTATGGTAACTCTACATTACCTCTCTTAACATGGCTCCAATTGTGTTTTTAATGATTTTTTTTTTTTTTTTTTTTTGGTAAAGATTGTAACAAGTTCTATGTTGGCCAAACAGGTAAACGAACATTTTGTCCAGAGAATAAAAGAAAGCAAATTTCCCGGTAGTCTCAGTACAGAGTTCAGAGTTGGTACAGTCCTGGTAGTACAGTCAGCTTCATTCTGAACTCGCAATCAAGAATTTTGGGTTCAACCCCTGTGCGGGACAGAAATGGTTGGCCACATTTCCTATCACCTAATGCTTCTGTCCTCATAGCAGTAAATAGGTACCCAGGAGTTAGTCGGCTTCTTGTAGGGCTGCAGCCTGGGAAGGGTCAGTAATTCGACCCTGGGGGGGTACCTTGATATAGACGTAACATGTACTGTATGTATAAACTAGCCGCCTGTCCCCTGCCACAATGAACTGTTATGCAAGTATTGTGCTTGCATTGTAAATTCATATAATTAATGTCTTTACAGGTTATAGTGGAAGTTGATGACAGTGAAACTGAGACTATCATTGCCAACCTAAGCCTGAAACATGGCATCCTCCAGTCCCAGCTTGATCTTCAGTTTGAGTCTGGAAGCCATGTTGCATTTTATACCCAGGGAGGTGCATCCTCTGTTCATTTGTCAGGATACAACGTATTTGATGTTGAAGAAGCTGTTGAAGAGGAAGAAGAGGAAAGCTCTGATGAAGGTATAGTTTCAATCTGCCATAAATTTTTATTAAACATTTTGTGTGCATTTTCAAATTGTTGATTAACCCCTGAGCTGCACACTCAAGTTTCCATGACAACTTCTCGGTTCACAAGATTTTTTTAACAGGTTAAATGTGTTCCTGATTATGGAAAAATTTAAATAAATTTTTGGGACTTTGACTGTGGTGGAGCAAGTGATTCACAAGTGTTCATGGAGCATTCACCCTGTGGAGGTGGCCCTGGGCTAGGTGGGGACAGGAGTTGCTGTGAATATATTTTTACATATCTATGTCAATGTCACTGATTTGTTTTTCTCAGGATTTTTGCAGTAATATTATCCAATGCTGTGTCATTTGAGAAATTTATATAATAAAATGTGTGGAACACTTTGTATGCTCAATTATTGTACTCATATAATTGTGCTTACAGGGGGTTGAGCTTTGGCTCTTTGGTCCTGCCTCTTAACCATCAGTGAACTAGTGTATAGATTTCTGAGCCTACTGGGCTTTATCATTTCCACATTTGAAACTGTGTATAGAATCCGGAATCCATCACATCACTGCCTAGTGCATTCCATTTGTTAACTACCCTGACACTGAGAAAGTTTTCTAACATCTGTGGCTTATTTGGGTACTAAGTTTCCACCTGTGTTCCTGCTTGAGACACTTGTATGACTCTTCCCACACAACCTTTTAAGCCTTTCTAAGGTGACGTTATGGGGATCTTTCTGCTCAAAAACCATACTGTTGTTATATAATTTCTCTATGTACAGTATTTTATCAATTTGGTTTTAGCTATTTTTTCTAGTTTTTTTTTACTACCACACTGATTAATGATAATAGTATAATTTAGAGGGATCTTTTTCTGCTACCATTTGTGTGTGTTATTGAATATGACAGAATGATTGATTTCACCCTTTATATCATGTGTGATGTATGGACAATCGTCCATTCCCCAACATCATTTTAGCTATTCTGGTTTCAAGAGGGAAGAAGAGAGGGAGGTGTAGGAGTGGGATGAATGGTTAAAAGAAATATATGGATCAGTGAGGTAGGTGGCTATGTGTAGGAAAAAGAGTTGGGAGTGGCGGTTAGGTGGGTTTGCAGGGTTTAGTAATGAAAGCAGTTAGTTTCCTAGTTTGTTGTTCATGTGTGGGTTGGTTGGATGATAGAGCCAACCATGTGATCTCGCAGGGCAACCAGCATGAAAATTAAGCCTCTTGGACTATGCAGATAGTAAAAGGTCTTTGGAATCACAACTTGCCCAGAAAGTTTTATCCAAACAAGTTCATATTGGGTAACTTGTTATTGAGGAAAACCAGCATCAGAAGATAGTGTTGTTTACCATATTTACTATGTTAACATACAGAAAACTTCCAGATTGATAATGTCTAAACTTCTGAACTGTTTCTGATTTGGCTACTCTGACTTGTGGTTTTCTAATGTAGGCTACTGCATTCAGAAATTTCTGACATTACAGGTGTTGTTAGTTGCATTTGCTAGTGATGCATCAGGAATGGTTGATTACCTAAAAAAAAAAAAGTGGAATTTTGCAACCTCCATACATAGCAGGTTAGTTATATTCTGTAATATCTCATAATGTAACAGTGTCAGTGTATTTCACCTTTTTTGGGATGTGCCTATATTCACCTCATGTTTGATTATTTGTTAACATATTTTTTTACATTTTTCAGAAACCCCTGTTCTCATAGCTAAGGAGACAGCCAAGAGGAAGACAGATGATACAGGTGCATCAACATCAAAGAAAGCTAAACTGACTGAGTGGGACACCCCAAAAAATAGCATGAAGAAAATGCATAGTAAGTTCAATGAATTATACATTACAGAGAAAAATAAGGTTTGATGTTTTAATGGTTGTTCACTTTATGGTTTATTGCAATCAGAGATGGGAAGCCTGTCCGTGTTATTGCAGTCCTCTAAGGTCAACTACTGTACCCAGGATAAAACCCACAACAGTTACCTAACTGCAGTGTACCTATTTGCTGCCTGATGAACTGAGGCAGCAGTTGAAATGTTGCTGGGGTTTGAACCCAGGACCTTTCAACTGTGACTGTTGCATTTGACATTGCTCTTTGTGGGGATAAAGTGGCTGTGTACAAGACACTTGTTAAAGTTACTGATGATCTTACTGAAATAAAACAAATATATTAGAATTATTGTATTGCAAAAGTTATGATATGAATTAAAAGAAGAGATGTTCTATGAATGACACTTGAGATATTAATGCAAAATGACAGTGTCCAGAGTTTCCTTGTGTGCGAAGCTTTTTTGGACACCTTAGCACTGGTAAATTTTTTGCAACTGTTATAGCTCCCTTGTGGAGTGGTATGGTCTCTGCTGTTTTAAGTATGTTGGGGAGAACACGAGTATTTAAACTCCATATCCAAATAATGTTAACCCTTTAACTGTGCGGCCTATAAATATGACATCCCCCCAGTGCGCAAGAAATCGGGAAACAACCTCGGGAAAAAATTCTTTTTTCTTCTGAAAGTGTCAAAAACCCCTCCCTTTATATGGGTATAGCAACGGAAGTTCGAAATTGTACTTACTTTGGCTGCTATGGAGACCGAAAGGTGGGGCGAGACGTCATCATTCCCCGTGCGCCAGAGCAGTATGCTCCCGGGGCCGGTGGGGCGGCCAGGGCGGGGCGCGCAAGTTGCTGCGAATATATTTTTGTTCATTTTTTGCGCACAGTTCCAAATACATTTTATTTGTTTTTACGTGCTAATCCTATGTATAATGAACACGTACACTATATTATGGCAGTAAAACATCCGTACTGTCCGAAAACACTGTTTTGTGCATGACACTTGTGTACACATATGTTGCACATATTTACCATATATCATGCTAATTTATGTATATATACAATCTATTTACAGACTATACACTGTCACACACTATATACACTCGCCATCAACACATTCAGAACACCGCGAGTGTGAGAAACCACACCCAGCCAGCCCTCCCTCACTCCAACATCTTACTCGCCAACATTGCTGCTCCCACCATACTGTTGTTGTATTTATTACATGATTTACACATGTTATATATACCTATCTACATGTTTTATTTACCAGAACTATGCAAGTAAGCCGGTATTGTGTCCAAACAGTACAGTGGCCACCATACACTGCATGACAAATCACACAGCAGACAGCAGACGACGCTACGATTACGACGTCACCTCCCTCACCAAAATAGCTCCTCACAACATACTCCTGGTGCTGTTATTACACTATTCACACACTGTATATACCCGTGTACATGTGTGTTCCCCATAGTGAACCACTAAGCTAGTACGGTGAACAAAACAAGAGTTACTGCCACAGTGAGGCTACCTCAATTCTCTCCCTTCTGCCCTTCCTCACCAAAATTCCTCCTTCCTACGTACAACGCTCATTATAACCACAATCCTGGTCACTAATACCTCTAAATGAATAATTGACCACAAGTTTATTTTGAAAAGGAACCTAAAAAGTCGTTTGAAGATTCCTAGATTGACGAAATAATGCTGTGGTGCTGTGGCTAGCGCTGTGAACATCGTGAACAGCATTGAATCACTGATATTTGAACATTGTACCCAGTCATTATCACACTCGAGCTCTTCTATAATACTATTATGGCTAAATAAAACAGATTATATATATATTTTGACTATTAGGCAATGCTGTGGTCACACGCTGAACAGCAGTGCTGTGCGCTTATGCTGCAAGCGCCAGCCTTGGTTGCTCACTCACTACCGAGGCTCTGACACCCGGCAATGTGGACCATGATTTTTTTTTAAGATGGCGTCTGTTTACAAGAGCCCTTAGGAAGCTGATGTGAACCCCATGTAGCCGCGGGAGTTTTGAATGGAACGTGAAAAATAAAAACACCCGGAGGCGCGTTGCGCACCCGAAGCCTGGCCCTGCAGGCGCGTTGCGCAGTTAAAGGGTTAAGGGCCCGTGATAGTGGTGTTTTGCAGTTCTTGATTAATGTGGAATTCAAAAGAAATAATATCTGGTGAACTGTGTCGGTACAAAAATAAATAAGAGGGTGTCTGGTGTTTGGGGTAGAAAGCCTCATGTGAGTGAGAGAATTTAGTTTTCCTCTGTTTTACAATGCTTTTCAAAGTTAATAAAATATTGTAGTTATTCACTGAACTTCCAAAATTTTGGATCATATTGTTATAGACCCAATATGCTCATATGAAATATGAATTTCTCAAAAGTTTGCACTTTTGGAGCTGTTTATTATACAAATTTTACAAATGACATGTCATACAATACATATCTTATGGATATATAGATAAATAAATAATATATATATAATTATTTTGTGTAATGATAGATAGTAATTAGCATGAAAAAACTATTGTTGCTTTTTAATAACAAAATGTAACTACTGCACTTTTATGTCCTCTGTTAAACTAATGCAGTCACTCCTGAACTAGCCTATAAAGTCCTCGGTTGCAATGGTTAATGCCTTTTTCTTGGTGATAGACTGTAACAGTTCAACACAGTCAGCCAACCCTTATTTTGTGCTGAGAACTTATGCCTAACCTTAATGCCTTTCATTATCTTCAGAAAAAATAGATGATGTTCAGTTGGATGAACTAAATGATGAAGACAGTGGGGAGGAGGAGGAAGACAGTGAGGAGGAGGAAGACACTGATGAGGATGAAGACACTGATGAGGATGAAGACAGTGACGACGACGAAGCTGAGGAAGTAGTAGTTAAAAGTAAGTTGTTCTGAATTTCACTTCTCTGTTTGTAGACCAATCCTTTTTTTTAATATACTCGAGATAATTGAGATCCCCTCCTTCATCCTTGCATTTCTTCTTACATTTCAGGTGCAGTCACTTCAGCGAAGACAGAAAATCTTTCAAAGCAGACAAACATTTTCAAGGAATCAAAAGCTGCAGAGCCTAATTCTGTTTTATCCAAAACTCCAAAATCAGAACAGAACATCAAAAAGGAAAAAACTCCAAAGCAGGAATTAAAGACTCCAAACAAACAAAAAGGAAAGCCTGCAACTCCTGAGAAGACTCCAGTGACTTCAGACAAAGCTGTACCCAAAAACAAAACGCCTAAGCAAGATGTGAATGCAATAAATGGGGTGAGACGCTTGAAAATTTTCTCAAATTATGATGAATGTTTATTTTTATAACTTATCAGGGAATCAACCAAAGCATCAGGGCCATCCCAAGGTCACTTCGGGCAACTGCCTATTACTTAAGATAGTAATTGCTCTGCATATGGGTATTTTTCACTGTTTTGCATATTATTTGCTGGAAAAGTATGAAAGTTTTGTTTATTTTCATTTTATAGTAACAATGACCATAATGTGCGCGTTTTATTTTTATTTGTTAATAAATGAAGAATGTTGATAAATATATTGCTGTTGTGTTCATAGAAATTTGTATATTCAGCACCATCATACAAATTCTATTTTCATTTTATTTTGGCTATCTGTACTCCAGCAAACTCATTTACAAACATTTATAGTAATATAAAACTGAGAAAACATTTAGAGTACCCTGTATATACATTTTATGCATCAGAGTTGCCTAGAACATTTACAGATGGAACATTAAATTGTTAGTAAGAATAGTGTGTTGGTGGAATTTAGTCCTGGTTTATAAAATTAATGAACACTGGGGGGATTTATTCTCTTATTATATATATTATTATTACAGTACAGTATTATTATTTATTAATATTATTTATTATTTAATATTACTACTTATTATTTATTACTATTATCGAGAAAATCCACAGGAGCCGTGATGAGGATTCGAATCTGTGCTGGGTGTTCCTGATTGTCACACGAAAATGTGATTTCTGTCTTATTATTATTATTATTATTATTATTATTATTATTATTATTATTATTATTATTATTGCTATTATTAGATGTAGTAAAGAATAGTCTTCCAAGAGGATATGGTATGAAGAATGCATGAACACTAAAGTTTGAGAATGTATTTCCTGTGGGGAGTCCGTTGGCTCCCTGGAGCAATCGAACTGATATTAGCTATATTAGTCTGGAGCTTCAGTCAATTGGAGTTCTGCGTAACTGGGACCACGAGCCAGAACCTGGCCCGCGCAGGGAGGAATGGCCTAAGAAGACCCCACTGTTTTTGGGAGTATTCCATGTCTGCCATTGGTCTCTGGTAGGCAGAACTTCAATTAACTGAAGCCCCAGAATAATATAGCTAATATCAGTTCGATAGCTTAAGGGAGCCTCCGGGGCTCTCCCAGAAAATGGCCTTTTTATTACATTCAATGCTGGTTCTTTGTGGGTGAAATGAAAGAAAACGTATTATGAAAATAGTTTGTTTTTTTGAGATATATAAAAGAGTTCTTAAATTCTTGGACAGCCACTAGTATGCATAGTGTTTCAGGCAAATGCTAAGTTTGTTGAGGAACAGTGACATGGGGGAAGTCCAATCATTTACTATGTTGGAAGAGCAATTAATCAGTGACTACTGTACTTTTCCATGGGAAAGTGTTGGATTGTCTGTTCTCATAAGTGAAATAAGTTTATAAAATTCGATTTTTCATATATGTTCTGTAAATTGGTGCTGAATAACCTGAGGTTCACAATGACTGGCCCGAGGCTCAGTTTAAAGCATAAAATAACTAGTATTATTTTTTCAGAAAACTCCGAAGTCAGAAAAAGCTGCCAAAAATGCAGGTAAATAATATTGTTGTATTTTTAGTACAGTATATAATTATTAGGTAATCATTAAAGGAACACACTATAGTTTGAGGTGTAACTGTTAAATTTTTTTTTTTTTTTTTTTTTGCATGGTGGTGCATGAAAGTACCTATTGGGTTTGGGCATGGTGCGCTGGGTCTTAAATTTCAAATGATTCGTTAGGGAGGCAGTTGTGGGTATGGAACATTTAATGATATTACACAGAAATCACTAACGTGATGCATCAAATGAACAAATCCACAAGGGCCGTGACGAGGATCTTCGTCATGGCCCTTGTGGATTTGTTCATTTAATGATATCTCACAAAGTTAAGTGCAGATCCACCAAAATGTTACACAAATTTCATGGTTCCTGGGAATAAGTCCAATAATCAAAGTTGTAAATTATTTGCTAAGAAGTTTTGTAAGTGATACCTTTTCAAGGAGTGGAGCCCTCGGTAATTCCTAGAAACTAAGTACTAGCAGAGCCATACATTTGGGAAATGCACCAAGCCTCTGGGCTGGGATCCACACTTTTTTTCAAAGGTTATTGAACACTGAAGGTCATTCCTCTTGCATCCATCATTGGGTCAGTAGGGTGGAGGGATTCAGACCCCCTCAATATCAATATCAAGAACAATATCAAGCAAATGGCCCCAACAGGAGAGTCCAAGGGTACCCGGCCCCTAGCTTCGAAGCAGTGGGACTCGCACAGCTTACTGACAACCTGGGAGCCTTGCAACGGACATTCAGACATGCCCACATCAGTGACAACTGGTGTGGAAGACTAGATGAACCAAGAACCTCTGGGCAGGTAGTTCAAATGAGCCTGTGCTTGTTTTTGAGATTCAATTATTTGTTTACATTGTTTGGGGAGTTTGGCAGTTTTGATGCTTCAGTCTGTGAATCCATCAGTGGTCTGTATTGGTTTGCTGACGTTCTGGATGTGTTTCCAGTTGGGTAGTGGAGAGTCACCTGGTATCTGCACTTCTGTTAGGGGAGGCCCATGTTCTGGCTCTGGTCCATGGTAGGCCAAACAGAACTCCAGGGCTGATGTGACTAGTAGTTCGGACCCACAAGGGGTTATCCCCCAGAAAATTAAAGATACACTTTCTGGTGGAGTCCCCAGTTGCTTCCTGAAGCTATCTCGCCAAGATTGCGTCATACATATGAGTTACATCAGATGCTGGAGTTCTGTTTGGCCTACAAGAAGCTGGAGCTCAGTGCCTGGGCCCTTCAGAAGTGGAGAGAGCAAGTGACAATTTGCCACCACACTTGTAAATAGGATAATATTGGCAACCTATTGAATGTGAGCAAACATAGAATGACAGGACAAATCTAAATATAGTTGTTCTAATATAATTTACATACCCAATAGCATCTCATATTGCTATTGTAAATTAGAATATTTACAGAATATTCAGAAATAGCTTAAAATCCTTATGTTGTGGAAGATTGAGAAGGGAACTGAAAGAGCTGTTAATACACAGCCATCCTTAAAAGCATCCTTTTCCTAACAGAAAAGGAACTCTAGGGTTCCTGCAAAAACAATGCTTGAGTAAGGTAAAGCAGGTATCCACAACCTGAAAAACAATGGAATCAGAAGATGTCAGTTCAGGCTTGACGTCCCCCCCCCCCCAGGCCATACCATAGGTCATCTCTTGTTACAATGCTTTTGATGTATTTTCTGTCCTTTGAATTGCAGGTATAGTGTAATGGTCATGACTTTTTCTTTTCTACATTGTTTAGAGCCTGTATCTGAACCAAATGCATTTTGTTGGTCGCAATGAGAATATTGTGAAGGTTAATAAAGGTACGTTTATTGTATTGTTCCAGATAAATTAAAAAACACTCCAGTGATCCCACAACTAATCAAAAAATCTCCAAAGGTAGTCAAGTCAGGTGGAGTGACATGTGAAGATATTGTCGTTGGCAATGGACCTGAAGCCAAGCGTGGAAACATGGTATGTATAAATTTTACAGTGGTTTTTAATCCTCGATGTGCAGCTTTTGAAATATGGCCATACCTGCCTATGTGCAAATATTTTATTGACTTTGCTAATAATATAATATGAGACACACGATAGTGTTCACTTTGGATATTTCTTTGATTGTTTATTACTTGTTTTGTGCCTGGATTGGGTTCTAAGAGTTCTTTTACTATCCGAGCCCAGCCCAGGGCCAGGCTTGACGCAAGAGAGCTTGGTTAAACAAGCTGTTGCTTGGAGTGGCCTGCAGGCCCACATATCCACTACAGCCTGACTGGTCTGGTACTTCTTGCAGAAAACTGAAAACTGGCACTTTAGGGGAGCCCCTTCGGCTCCCCTGAGCTATCCAGGCTTACCTGCTTGATACCTGCTTGATGGGGTTCTGGGAGTTCTACTCCCCAAGCCCGGCCCAAGGCCAGGCTTGACTTGAGAGTTTGGTTCACTAGGTTGTTGCTTTGAGCAATCCGCAGGCCCACTTATCCACCACAGCCCAGTTGGTCCGGCACTCCTTGAAGAAAATGATCTAGTTTTCTCTTGAAGGTGTCCACGGTTGTTCCGTGGACACCTTATTTAAGGTGTCTTAAGACATAAGACATTTCTTATGCTCACTGGGAGGATGTTGAACAACTGTGAACCTCTGATGTTTATTCATTGTTCTCTGATTGTGCCTATGGCACCCCAAGCTGATATGTATCTCTTTAGAATTTGGCATCAGTTGATGTGGGTGGAGTTCTAGGTCTACCGGGGACCACGAGTCAGAACCTGGACCCCTCAGAGAGGCACGAGGAGCGATGGCCTGTAGAAATGCACATGTGATTAGGCGCATTCTATATCTACCATCAACCGGGACAAGCACCCAGAAAGGCAAGCGCTCCAAAACAAACCTCCTATTCTTATAAAAAAACAACGAAAATAGATAAACGAGTGGACAGAACTCCCCAATTGAAAACGAGCAAACGAGCATGACGTCACACGAGCCGCGCTGCATGTCTGCGCAGCTCCCACCCTCCCAGAAGGGTGAGCCCTGACCCCCGCGCCAACGATCCACACCTCAGTTCTTCAGCTGATGTGATACGGTATGGTCGCATGGCTCCAGCTCCAGACTTTGTGTTGTGCTGCCCTTTGGTTCAGTACTGCTCTTACAGTGGCGTGTGAGCTGGAGCCATATTAACAGGTACTCGGACTGCATGTGCTTAGGGTCACCTTCCCTGAGTGCCCTGTAAGTACTGCCCTTGGGGCTTGGGGTTCTCATCCATAAGTCACCTTGAGGCTTGGGGTTCTCATCCATAAGTCACCTTGGGGCTTGGGGTTCTCATCCATAAGTCACCTTGGGGCTTGGGGTTCTCATCCATAAGTCACCTTGGGTCTACTTCTGTTGGTCTTTGCTGCTCGGCGATTGACCGCCCTGAGTGTTTTATGGGGGGTTTCCACTCTTGTCTACCTTGGGGTAAGTGGTAGTTTTGCACTGGTAGGGGCACAGGGTACTGCATAGCTAGTTTTCACCTATAACAACGGCCGGCTTTGTTCCTTCTGGGTGCGCTGTCCTCTTGCATGGTTTTTCTTTTTGTTATTGCCTGGTGGGCTTCCTTGGTATCCCTTCCCCCTGGTACATGAGGGTTTGAATTTCGGTTTGGTGGTACCCCCCTGCTTTGCCCTCGTGAGTGGACACGTCCCGGGGGTTCAGCATTAGCAGTTTGTTTGGTAGCATTGGGTGCCGGTTAGTAGTACCTTGCCTGGGCTTACCCTAAGCAGAGACAGTATAGGGGCCTTGGGAAACCCCCTTGGGGCATTCTGATCCAATGGATGCAACCCCTGGGTCCCCTCTCACTTTGTGCGAGTTTGAGGGTTGCTTTGTCCCCTTGTCTCAGGGCGACTCTCATTGTTTTTGCCTCCGTCATGCTGCCTGTTGAGTTGATGACACCTTCGACCCAGAGTCCTACGAGCATTGTTGCTTGTTTGCGACTCGATTCACCCAATCTACTGATGATGTTATTCGGGTGCACGCACTCACACGTTGCAGGTTGCTTCCCTGGATGCTTCCCAGGATTATAGGGAGTCTGACTTGAGGGTGTTGGTCGCATCAGCCTTGGTTCAGTCTGCAACCCCCCCCCCCTCGTTTTTCCCTTGCTTCCGGCTCCTAAGTGTCCGAGGGGCTTTGGGGTCGGGGCAGGGTTTAGAGGTTTCCGAGACTCGAGCGGTTTTGGGGGGTTGCCCCTTCCGGGGTGGCGACAGAGACATTCGAGTCTGTTCCTCCAGCTGTAGCTCCGGGGTCCGACCAGTGGGCCCCCTCTCTTCCAGGGTTCGGTTCAGTGTCCCTTCGGGTCTGTCGGTTCCGTCCTTCCTGTGTGTACTGTACTTTTAAACATTTTCTCAACTTTTATATCTTGGACATGTATTCATCATGTTGCATTCATGTTCAAATCATGTCGAGACCCCTGCATGACCATTGGCTGCCGATGGGCCCATATGAGCCTCCGTGATTTTGTGCTTGATTATTAAGGTTCTTGCAGGTTCAAGAAAATCTTTGATCCTTAAATTATTATTGGAACGTCTGTTGACTTCCGGTGAGGCTTACCTCGCCTTTTATCAGACTTGTTGGTCCTCTTCCGTACTACTTGTCTTCTTTCGATACTATCTCATTATTTTGTAATCATAAAAAATGGCCCGAGGGAGATTTTTTGTTTGTTTGTGGGTGGTGTAAACGTGTGTTAGTGTTCCGCATCCTTTATTGCAGGTTATATGCCGCTCTCGCTCATCTTGTCTCTCCAGTCCTAGCCCCATAGATACTAGGGGGAGTTCTGGATTTTATATAGGGGCAGACACCTAGTTTATTCTCTACTTACGGGTGTGAGCTGACGCCTCCAACGCTACACCTAATTTTCTCCTACTGTGCATGCATCTATGGACGTGATCCACTAGCGATGCATGGCTCAATATTACATGGCTCAGCTGTGTCGCGACACGATAGTGTCTACGCTTTACAGGTGAAAGTATACGGTCTGGCGACATTCAACCAGGTGCTGTTACTCGATATTTGGACGAGTGTTGGGTATTGTTGTAGTGTGTTGCTTGGTAAACACGGTGAATCTTACCGTGACCTTCCTATGTACTTATATAGATGCTGTCTGGACACTCATTCCTTGCCTCAGTTATTGCTATCAGGACATTCATTCATTGACTGTCATTGCTTTCTGGACACTTTCATTGACTCGGTCAATGCTATCTGGACACACATTGCCCCATCAATGCTATCTAGGCACTCATTCATTGCCTCAGTCAATGCTGTCTGGACACTCATTCCTTGACCGTCGTTCAGTGCCTGGCTGCACCCTTATATACATTGGTGTGTGTATATATACTTGATTGTGTATGTTTCGTTACCACTTGCTTCCTCGGTCTTATTAGTTCATCGTATAGATTATACTCTCTTGTCCCTAGCTACCGGTGTTTGGACTATTTCGGGTCGTTTCATTGCACGTTTCTGTATTTCCTACCTCTATACTACACGTTGTTTTGAATCTTAGTATGTGCTTATTGGCTATACTAGTGTTGGTGCTAGGTGGACTGTGTACATGTTCAGTTCCCTGCGATTGAACAGACCCAGTGTTCAGTTATAGAAGCAAGTTCTTTCATCTTCTTGATGTCACTACCAGCTTCTGTGTTGCAATGTCTACTGGTAGATGTAGATTCCAATCAACCACTCCTGCCCCTACTGTTCCTTTTTGTTGTGACTGGGGGAGCTAGGATTACTGCCCTGGCTTCAGCCTTCTCATTGTGTTCCTTTGCTGGACAGTCCATTTTTTATTTAGTGCAGTACACGTCTTGGGTAGTTCTACTAATCTATTCCTCAACGATGCGTGCGTCGTTCTGCCCTGCTGGAGCTGATTGCGCTGCTCGTGCGGGTTGCTGTTTCGCTGTTTTTTCCTTCATGTCTCGTGGTGCTCGCTTCCTCTTTGGCCTCTGCCTGGGGCCCTGTCTTAGGTTTTCGTCGCCATTTTGTCCTTGCTGTTTGCGGGGTCTGCGGTTTGGCGCTCTTGGCAAGCAGCGTCTTCTCTCTCGTTGTCATCCATTATCGACCTTGTTGGTCCTTTAGGGGTCCGTTGTCCTCCTGGACAGGGCGTGTGCTCGCTCGGGTTGGTTCTTTCCCAGAACCACTCTTTTGGGTTCGTGGTTCCCTGGCGGATGTTCCTTCTGGTTCCTTGCCCCTTGGTTTTAGGCGCTGCTTGCTTGGTGTCCAAACCTAGGGGTTTTCCCACAGCTCCGCCTCTTTCAGATGATCGGTTCGGTTCATAACGGGGCTGGTTCGATCTTCTCGAGTCTTCAAGGCTGGTGCTTTTGACTACTCGCCATCTGTTTGGTGATCAGGTGGCTTCATTGATGGTGTCCCACCTGCGTGCTTTGTCTCGGCGGCGGTATGGGGTTTTGCTGGTGGTCATTCCTTTCCTTTTTGTCTCTTCGTAGGTATCCTGAGGTCTTTGTTGACGTGATCTTATCCTTCTCTCGTGGTGGTTTGGAACCGTTGGCTTGACGCATACTGTCGCCTTGTCTTGTGCGGCGCTGACGGAGCCGCTTCGGATTTCTTTCAATTTTGTTGTTTCTTCTGCTCCGTTTTGCGAGCTGTCTTGGGTGTTGTTCGCTTCTGCCCTACTCATGTGCCACCTGAGCCGTCCTGGTCTTTGGACAGAGTGCTCTCGTTCTGTCTTCGCCTCGATTTGTTGTGGTCCTTGGGTTGATGTTTGGTTGGTCAAGCCAGGGGTGCATCATGTGTGGTGTCCGGTTGGGGCCTTCCGGCGTTCTTTGCGCGCTGCGGCCTCTATGGCTGGGAATGCGCATTGGGTTCATCCGGTTTCCTTAATTCACTGTTCTCAGGTTCGAACCTCTCAGGTCGTCCGCAGGGGTTATTTTGATTTGCCGGCCTGCGGTCTATCCCCATGCTCATGACATTTTTCGATTTGCTGAGCTTTCTGCCATCTTTGGAACCATGTCTGCAAGCTCCCTCGTGAATGTTCCTGGGCCTAGTCGGGCCTGTGTCACTAGGTTGGTGGTTACAGCCTGTTGTCTCGACTTCGAGTTGAGATGTGTGCACCAACCACTTCCCAGGTAAGTCCCTCTGTTTTCGTCTTTGGTGAAGTAGCTCCGGAGTTGCAGAAGGGGCTCCCCCTCCCCCCCCCACACCAGAAAACCAGCATTGCATGTAATGAAATGCCATTTTCTGGGCGAGTCCTGGAGGCTTCCCGACAACCCTCCCTCCCTCCCTCCTGGTCAGCGGTTTTTGCGTATTTTGATATCCAGCCTCAAAACTGCAGGGAGGCTCACCGGCGTGGGGGTCTGGGGCTCTCCTTTTCCCCTCCTGGGGAGGGGAGAGCTGTGCAGACATGCAGTGCTGTTCATGTGACGTCGTGCTTGTTTTCAGTTGGGGAGTTCTGTCAACTCGTTTGTCTTTTTTCGTCATTTTTAACCAGAATAGGGGTTTGTTTTGGGGCACCTACTTTTCTGGGTGCCTGTCCCGGTCGATGGAAGATGCTCCAAATCACATGTGCATTTCTATGGGCCATTGCTCCTAGTGCCTCTCTGAGGGAGCCAGGTTCTGGCTTACGGTTCCCGGTAGGCCTAGAACTCCACCCACATTGACTGATGCAAAATTCTAAGGAGATCCATATCAGCCTGGATATTGACAACTATGGGCCTCTGATGTTCATAGTTTCTCTGTTTGTGCCCATGGCACCTCTACTCTTCAATGGCTCTATTCTGCATTTCCTTCCATATTGTTCACTCCAGCATGTTATTTTGCTTTTCAAATTTGGGACAAAGCTCTCCACTATTTTCCATCAACCTTATTTGATAACTCTACTCTCGTTTTGAGAGCTTTCAGACTATCCCAATAGTTTAAGTACTTTATCGTATCTATGCATGCTGTATATGTTCTCTGCATTTCCTCTGTAGGAGGCAATCTAGCTTCCTCTGAAGGGGAAAGCGAGTATTGAGCAGTACTCAAGGTGAGACAGCACAAGTGAATCGAACGCATGAGCATTGTGACGAGATCCCAGGATTTGAAGGTTCTCGTAATCCATCCTATCAGTTTTCTACCTGATGCTATATTTCCTTGGTTATGCTCCCTAAACATTTAAGTCATCAGATATCATTATTCCTATACTCTGGCTAGAAGTAGTTGCAATATCCATAAACTTTCTTGGATGACTTGCCCAAACGTCTCGTTTGGGCAAGCTAAACTAAACAAGCTAAAGTTCTAAAAATATCCATATCATACAATCATAACTTTTTTCATAGTAGTTTCATAGCACTCTGAGGTACCCATAATGAAGTAAGTTGAAACTATCTAATAAAAACTTTTTAACCACAGATATCGGTATACTATGAAGGACGACTAATGAGCAACAAAAAGATGTTTGACAAATGTGACAGTGGTAAAGGCTTTAAGTTCCGACTAGGCATGGGTGAAGTTATCAGTGGCTGGGATGTTGGTGTTTCTGGCATGAAGGTTGGAGGCAAGAGAAGAATTATCTGCCCACCACAAATGGCGTAAGTTTTATTTATATTTGGGGGTTTCTCATGCGTACCTAGTTTAGAAGCGAGCAGGTGTATGAAAGGTTTTCTTAACTGCATTATCTTTTGGGATATAATTATTTTATTGCACTACTATATACTTTATATCACTACTAGAAATAGTTTGCACAGATTTAGTTTAAGATCCTTTAGAAAGTGGAGGTATGAGCAGGTATGGGAAGTGGTGCTTGGGTGGTTATTTTGCATGTGGTTTACTTTGTATTGCTTGTTCCTCTGTATTATTTCCAGCTAGGAAGCTGTGTTGTATTCACCTCTCCAAGTATTCTACTTTTAATCATCTGTAACCTTCTCCAGTTTCCTAACTAAATGTCTTCCTTTCTTTTATTTCCTTCATATCTACTCAATTTGTTCCCTTCCTTTCTCCACATGACACTTTTGTTTGGATCCTTTTTTTATCTCCATCTGTTTATGTATTTCTTATTATGTATAACGTGTTGACATTTTATTGGGTGCTGCCTAATTACTGACCCCTATTGACATTAACCCTCAATCTGTGCCCCTTTCCTCTTATGCATGTAAAAAAAAAAAATGTTAAATTGGCATCCAGGAAGTATAAATATCTTGAGATTTATTATGTGATGTAGTTTAGCTGTAATGGATTTATAAAATTGGCTTTTGAAGCTAACAGATGCCTGATGTATTAGCTCTTTGTTGAGTGATAGGGCGAGATGCTGCATGGCTATTTCTCTTTCCAATTTATTTTATGATTTCTGACACATTTTCATCAGAATTAGATTTTCAAGTGTCAAATATGCCCCAACTAGCAATTCAGAATGAGTGTCTGTAGCATAACACAACTTTGTGTCAAGATCAAGTCACCACCCACTCCCTCATTTCCTCATCTAACTTCCCTTATTGGTGTAGATGATTGTTTAATTTTATGAAGATCGTTATTTGGGATTTCACAATAAGTCCCACACTATGTCCATCAAATTTAGTGTCCTGTGTCACAAAATTTGCCCCACTTTCTCTTCACGATCAAGATATACAGTGTATAGCTAGTACTATGACCAGTACAGATTACAATATAATTTTCATCATATTTAGTAGCCTGTGGAATGAAATTTGCTTCAATTGACAACCATGAAAAACTTTTCCCACCACGACCACTACCTTGTGCCATGAACACCAACATATGGTTATTGCAAGCAGAATTTCCCCAACAAAATCAGCAGCAAAATCGCCATCACCACATTTTCATCATAATTGGATATTGTTGCAACAAATAGGCTTCATTTGTCAACTCATTGTGTTGTCTTGCTCCTCAGTTCCACTTCTTTGCTGATAAAGCAGACAATTTCATATTATGGGAGATAATATTCAAGTAAATACTTGTAATATTATCTCTTTTTTTTTTATCATTAAGATCTTCCAGGTCCTTTTAAGTCCTTGCAATTTTGCATGGTTTCAATGGTCCCCTAGCATGGTCTCACTGCTCGTTCAGTGGCTTGATGAAGATCTGCCAAACATAGTTCACATCTCTTTGTTAAGGCCTAGGAATGAAGCAGTGTTAAACGACATCCCCATAGAATGGTGGAACTTTAATATTACAGTGCAGCACAAATTGCCTCCAGATACTTGAGAATGGTGGCCAGTTGCTTTACAGTCATTGGAGTTGTTTAGGGTTAAATATGTTCAGATAGATAGATAGATAGTATATGTTTGCATATATTTAGCATTCCAGTCCTGTGTGTGCACTGCTTCCAATCATTTGCATCTGTTAATTTTCACTCCTATCAACCTCAGAATTTCTTAACCATCATTAATTACTGTTGAGCACAAATTTGAACGATAAAATAAACTATAATAAGTTCAATAACTTTTACTAATCAGAATTATGAGTGCCTAAAGCAGTTTTTCTTCAGCAGATATGGCAAGAAAGGAGCTCCTCCAAATATTCCACCTCAATCTACATTGATGTTCATGGTTGAATTAAAGGGTATAAATTAATTTTGTATTGTTTATGAAGGGGAATGTTTAGCTCTTGCAGTTGGAAGCCTTAGTGGATTGTATTTAGATTGAATGTCAGTAGGTTTTAAGGTTACAGATTCATTAGATTACTGTGAAAGGGACAGTTAATTTTAATGTGAATTAAAATAAAGATCTTTTTTATCCTATATAAAAGTAATCTGCATCAAAGACATGGCAGTTACAAAACAAGTGTGGATAGGTGTATTAAATATTCAAATGTTTTCTCGTTGAAAAATTAAACAAATTTAATATCGTAGCAAGTTTTTTGACACATACTGTTGCTATAATTTTGAATGTATGCAATAATACTGTCCTAATGAGTGATATGTTGTTTTAATTTAGGAATTATAGCTTCCCTCACTTGTTAAAATATTGATGGAATATAATAAAAACGTTTTTAATAAAATGTTGTCTTCAGGAAACCTTGTACATAATATTTACCATTAAGATTTATAAAGAAATACAGTATAGTTGGATCATAATTCCTAGCTCCTAAAGTACTGACCTAGTTGTGATTGCAGGGGTTGAGCTTTGGCTCTTTGATCCCACCTCACTACTGGTGTACAGATGCCTGTGCCTATTGGGCTCTTTATCATATCTACATTTGAAACTGTGAATGGGATCTGCCTCCACCACATCATTCTGTGGCTCATTTGGGTACTAGTTTTCCCCTGTGTTGCAGAGTTGTGGACTCAGCCACAAAGTATAGCTATCAAATATTACTGCAGATAAAGGCATGTCTGTCCATGCGCAAACAATAAACATGTTAAAAAAATATTTCTCTATAAACATATTTGTTAGAATAGATATAGAAATATCTGTAGAAATTTGTTGGAAAAATGTTGAGAAAAGCGGAAGTATACTAAATGTGTACATTGGATTGATGTGTAGATAGTTGCCGAGTGTGGGCTCGGCCAGCATCTGTCGTTGCCGAGTGTGAGGTATGCTGACAGTGGCATGTAGCAGATGACTCCAATGTTGACCTTGAAAGTTTCTATGATAATTTTTACACATTACAATTTCTTTAATATTTCACCATTCAGGTAATTTAACCCTTAAACTGCGCAATACTTACGCATATGACTTGACAAAGAATAATTTAACATACGTTTTTAAAACGTATGTTTTAAACAAACACTATCCAATTCCTTTTTGCATAATCAACTAGGCAAGTACTCCAACTTTGTCTAAATGATCACAGTGCAACTTGAAAAACAAGAGAATCAAAATTAATTTTAAAATTGAATATTGAAAAGTTCAGATTTTCAATTCAGAATAAAACACATGAACTATCACAATTGTTCATTTAATGTTATTATTCTCTCAGAATAGCATATGATCTTCATTTTCATCAAATTAGACTATAGGTTTTCAGTATAGCTTATTGTAAAAAAAAAATCGTCAATAGGACATTTGAAATATGGGGCAAATTTAGTCCCAAAAATTATAACTCCAAATATATAAAGTTTATGATAAATCCATTCTGAAGGGATTGTAGAACAGACAGCTGAGCACACAATGTCAAATTAGTGAGAATCGGTCAAAAACTGGAATTTTAGAAACCACTCTAAAGTTGAAACTCCAGTTTCAGATATAATTGAAGAAGTTACCAACAATGAATAAAGGTAGTTTTAATTCATTAATTTAATTGTATATTTTAATAAACATTGTTTGGCATTTGCACTCGAATATGCGAAAGTTGTAGGTCAATATGTGTTGAAATGAAGTTGAGAAAAAATCCCCCCCCCCCCAAAAAAAAAAAAACAATATAGAGACAATTATAATGATTTAGGGTATAATTTATATAAGTGAAAAATTCCTAATATGGTCCCTAATCATCAAAACAACCTAAAGAGAGAAACAAAATAGTTTGAAATCAGAAAAAAATCGGCCAAAAAAATAAAAAATTAAAAGTACCAAGTTTTAGGAATTGTGATTAATTTTTTTACCATTTCATTCTATCTTCATAGTTATGGAAGCACATGCATTCTCCAGGACGTAAAGGTTACAACAAAATCAGATAATAAAGGAGAGGAAAAAAATATCTTGACAAAAAAAAATTCCCTAAAAAAATATTTTTGGGACATTGATGAAAGTAACATATACAGTTATTTACATTAGACAATGTTAATATGATATATAACAAAAAAGATCATATTAACAGTTATTCATTATTATTTATGTTATTATGTATTACTCAGCAATGACATAAAGGCACCAACTGCATATCTACTTTGTGGACACTTCTTACTAATATTCTTCTTTGAGCATCAGACAGGTGCTTGCATCACTATTACTGCATAATCCTTCAGTTCCAGTTATTAGGAGCTGTTCTTATCAACAAAACGGTCTTATTTTTTAAAAAACTCGCCTAAAATCAATTTCTGAAAATATTTTGATGAAAGTTTCACGACACTGAAGCCAATAAGTTGGATATTTGTTTAACATTTTTAAGTTATTTTTACATAATTCAAATAATTTTTCCTACCAGGGCCCCCAATATGCGCGGTGAAAGGGTTAAAAGTGATTCTGAAGTTGGAAAGCATAGCATATGCGCCTCGCACAGTCCTTTACGTGGTTCTCTGGTTACAGTTTGCTATCTAAAAACTACCCATAAAGCTCATTATTTATCAGTTTTAATGTCTTTTCACATAATTTGTAGCTTGTGTCTACTACTTTCTCCTATTACACATTTCATAGTGTGGCATATATTCACATTGAATTCCATGTGGGTTACTCTGCACTTTTGTTCAGATCTTGAAAGCCATGACAATCATCAAAGTCTCTTGTCTTTCCTAGTAGCTTAGCTTCATCAGCAAAGATGTTCATATATATATCTATATTCCTTTTGGTAGATTGTTTATATAGTTTATATAGACCAACTGTTCTTTCTACCTAGCTTGTTGAGCATTTTTTTTGTACTTCATCTTTACACACTTATATATACTTTATAGTTCTCTGAATTCTGTTTTGTCTTGATCTCTGGACACTTCCAAATTTTTCCACCATTTCCATTTCTACATGTTCTTCTAGATTACAGAACAGTATAATGCATTGCATATTTGATTTATAAAAGGACATGGTTCCTGTTGCCCACTGGAGGAAGGTACTGAATTAGGCTTGCTGGAATTCAGGAGACAATGGAGAAGAGAAGATTAAAGATTATAACAAGACAGCCTTAGGTATTTGTTAGAACATTACCCTAAGAGGGTATGTCGACTGTTAAAATTGCCTAAAAGCAGCATAGGCTCCTGTAATGCACCTAAAAGTATTTAAGATCGGAGAGAGAAATCAGAACATGAGTGAAGGACATAAATGGAACAGATGGCATACCACTTATAAAGGTACACGTAGTGGGAGAATGAATGTTGGACTAAAGGGGAACATTGTGATCAAGAGAGCAGTAGAGTTGTGGTTACCAGAAAAGCTGGAGGGGAGGAGAGTGCAGACTAAGTGGAATTGACCAGGACAAGCATCGACTCTTTGGAGATAAAAATGTTGCAAGACCAAACTGTGGAGTTCATTAAAATTGGCATAAATACCACATATATATTCCATTTAAGAATGAACATTGTGGAACAGCATAAGAATAAAAAAATTATAAGCCAAAGCAAAAGAACAATACTAGGAGATATCAGAACCAAATTTGAGGGGGGGGGGAAGAGATGATTGGGTTGTGGTAGAGTAATAGTAAAGTGACAAGGTCCAGTAAAAAGGTGCTGGCGAGGATTGGTTAAATGAGTCAGGCTGAGAAAGGACAGAAACAGGCATTGCGCTTTGGGTCAGGAACTGCACCAAAAGTAGGAACACGGGCGACAGGAACTTCCATAGGGAGGTTTGTTACCAAAATGGAAGGACATACAGGATCAAGGATGGAGGTAGCTGGAGGAAGGACTAGGGACAGACATTACCACACACACACAGGTGTGGTAATGGCAAAGTGCTGTGTGATAATTTATTGTCTCAGGCAGGGAGTTAGAATGAGAGCAGGCAATACAAGGATGGGTACCTGCCTGGGTGGTCATATTCCAGGAAGGATTGTTGAGGAAGACAAAGCAGAGTTGGTCTCACAGTGGATATAGAAAAGCAAGGTGGAAAAGTGACAAATACAGCAGGCAGGGTAACACTCGGTAGGAAAGGTGGAGATGCTGGTCTGTGATACAAAGGATCACCCTTGATCTTAGATCATAGGTGCAGGAGAATGGGAGTTGAAGGTGAATGGTTGTAGACCTGAAGGGTGGGGGTAAAGGAGCATGATGCAATGCACAAGAAGTCAGAAAAAATGAGGATGACCAGTTAAAATTTATAATGTATACAGTATCAAGAAAACCAGGGTGGGCATCACAAAAATTGATGCAGTGAGCATTGGGAGAACAATCTAGCCTAGAATGGCAGGAAACAACACACAAGGAGCAAAATGACTGAGGTTGCAGGTCCAAATTTTCAGTACCTACTGCACACACATGGAGAAGGGGGTTGTATTCCTGAACAAAGCACCAGCAATAATTGGTAAAGACAGGTGGTTTCGACTATCAAAAGTGATCTTGACTACTTTTAAGGGGATGACGACAACCCTGAGGGAGGTTAGGATAATCTTTGGCCTCGCGGATGAATTTAACATGTCAGATCATAGGTTCACTGTCCCTAGTTGCAACATGGGAGAATGACTGCTAATGTAAGCACATAATTGGACTTTTTGAAAACCTAAAGCAAGGCAAGTGGCAATCTCCTAAGAAGGAAGCCTCAATGCCAAGTGCACCAGTCCAGGTGGGATTTACATGTAGCACAGGTATCCACAGTCAACAAGATGTTTGTGGATGTATAAATGATCAGAGTGGATAAGATCATGATGACATCAAAATATTTAGGGCACACAGCAGTGCTAAACCAATCATTGATGGTAGCAGTGGTCAAGGGAAACACTCATCTTCGATTACAAGGGTGGTTCTGTGCACCCCCGGTAAGGAGGAAAAAAAAGGCATAGGTGTAACAATCAAGGCTGCAATCTCTCCAGGTGATGAGGCAAGTATTTATCAAAAGGAGGCACGAAACTGGGAAGATTATGTAGCAGGTAATGAGGTAGTCACCACCAGGAATTTGGGGAGGGGGTTTAGTCCTACAGCCTATCGACAGCCTATGGTGGAGCCAGCGGCTGAGCGGTCAGAACACTGGGCGCGTAATCCTCTGGTCCCGGGTTCGATCCCAAGCGCCGGTGAGAAACAATGGGCAGTTTCTTTCACCCTGATGCCCCTGTTACCTAGTAGTAAATAGGTACCTGGGAGTTAGTCAGCTGTCACGGGCTGCTTCCTGGGGGTGGAGGCCCGGGCCGCGGGGACACTAAAGCCCCGATATCATCTCAAGATAACCTCAAGATAGTCAGTTATCCTTAAAATTTAATGTATCTTATGGATTTTCCACTTTAAAGTATTTATCTTCTTTTAAAATTATCTATTGTCAATTTTTTTTAATTAAAGTTAATTAGAACTTTAAATTACTGTACACCCTCCTTGCAAAAAACTGATAATGCACTTTGAACATTTTGGTACATTTTAACTCTAGGTTCAAGTCTTGCACTACTCTTAAAAATAAAGGTTAGGGACTTTAAAATTACAATAATTTGTCTAATAACTTTATTAAATCATTGTTTGCAAACTGTCTGATAATACAAGACATGCACAAAAATGACTTTTAACCTTTACATTTAAACATTCAGGAGCTTTACATCATTCTACCAAACTCCATTTCTTGCTATCATGTAAATCCATACAACCAAGTGTGCATGCACATACATCTCTTTGTCCAAAGTCAAACCATTTCCTTCTACCTGAAGACAGTTCTCATCAATTAAAGTTCATTAAAATTATTCAAATAAGTAGCCATTATATACTACAGCAAAACTTATCAAATAGCATATTGACAGTATAAAAAGAAATTTGGTTCAAAATAACTTTTTAAACTTTCAAGATCATTATCAAATACTAATGCAATCAAACTTTGTATCTGGCCTATGTATTATACTAATATATTAAAAATTCATAACCAATATATCAACGTTGGAACTACAGACATACTGGAGGCATATTTAACCAGATAGCATTTTATGGCTAAATACTGAATGAACAGACTTTTATCATAAGTTAAAACCCACCACTAAAATTTTTAGTAATTTTTGTAACTAATTTATCAAAATTAGATATGAATTATTATTTATTAAGTAAACCTAGAATATGATATCAATACTTTAGAACATGTAAGCCCTTACAAATGTCTCAAAAGACCAACACGTAAGTACAGTACACAAAGGTCAGACAAGAACGACAGCCTATGGACACCAAACTTTACAATCTGTAATTTATCAATTTAATTCTAACCCAAATTATTTGGGTAGATGATTTCATTTATTCAGAATCTCCCCCTCTTGTTAGCCCAGCTGTCTCCACCTCTCCAGATCCTTTTATCCCCTCTCCCCCACCCACTATTAGCACCATAGGTGACATGTGCGCCATATCCTCCGCGGTTACTGTTCCAACCATATTCACGATTCCTAAAACCTCCTTGATCAGCCCAAGGACTAAATGTTCCCCTTCCCCTTCCCTGTTGTTGCCAAGCTGGAGTACGGTCATCCCTCCAAGATGATGCCCAAGGTGTTGGCTTCCACGTTCCTCTGTCTGATCCTCTCCATGCTCCTCTTCCTCCCCTTCCCCTTCCACTAACATCCCGACTTCGATCAATTACATTGCTAGGCATATTTTGTGCTGCCTGGAACTGAAATGAAATAGTTTAATTTATAGACAAGTAATAAGTCTTTAGATAAAGGTAAAAGTAAATATACGGCAGTAAAATTATAATATATATATATATATATATATATATATATATATATATATATATATATATATATATATATATATATATATATATATATATATTTTGTTGTGTTGCCTCAAGTTGTGAGGGGTACCACCTCTGGTGCAAATGTGGGGACCCATAGTCCCGGAGAAGAAAATAACGAGTATTCAGAGAAGACCTTGAGTATATATAGGTCGAGGATATATATATATTTAATATTTTTTATATTTATTACATTTCTACAGTTTACAGAAAAAAAACACACATAACAATCACTGTTCGAAGACTCCATCCAGCTCTTCAGATGTTTGGTGCGTGCCCAGGAAATGCGAGTTGTACGCATTTCCTCTCTGGATCGTGACACTTCGGTACTGGAACAGGAAACTGGTTGCTCTTGAGTCTTTAGTTTTCCCTTATGAGTTTCTCACCCACCTCCTTTAGGAACTTACGTGCACATTTACCCCAGGTGCCCAGGGTCTTGGAGCCTATCGGCACGAACCTGTAACAACACTAGGTCCCTGCACTTGTTAATTTTCTGCGTCTTCCTGAAAATGGCCGCCCCGCCTCCCTCAGCTGTACTGTGAGGTAGCTAGGTATTAGCCAATGTAGATGCACTCATGTAGTCCCATATGACCCATCTACCTTCTCTCCATGGCTGCAGGGTGACTCCATCTGGGCGTTTGTGATTTGTCAGGTATGCACAACTGAGGTTCACTATGTGCTGGACACCCAGCTGTAGCCAAGTAGCCAAATTTCTCTTGATGTCACTGACTGATTCATGTCTGGCAATCTTTCCTGGTGACCTACGAGAGATGAGACCATGGCTGCCATATTGGTCTGCCGACGCATAGCTGCAGATACACCGGTGTTCGGTGGAGACAGGAGCGACAAGGTGCAGGGTAACACCAATACTTAGCGCCCAATGGTCCAAGCGGGTGCCCAAAGGCGGAATTAGGGACAGCCAACAAAAAGTTCCCGGCATGAGAAGCTTGCACAGCTAGGAGACACACACTATGTCTTTCCCAGAAGCTGCCTCCAGCAATGCTGTGGCAATGTTTTTCACTATGGGGTTATTCCACTTGGCCTGTTTGCAGTTGTTTGAAAAAGTTGGTTGAGGTTGAGAGTTGGCAAGATTGTCCCACTGGCCGGCTCCGTCCGCAAATATGGGATCGTGAATCCCAATAGATTCTCTTTGGTATTCTGGTAGTATTTCATTCACTAATTCACCTGTAGCATTGGTCGAGGACAAGAATGCCGGCAATGCTGTGTCGCCTTGCAAATACCTATGATGGCTTTGTATACCTCTGACGCTTGGAGGAATAGAGGTCCCAGGTCTGGGACATTTGTGTCCTGAGCAATGGGTTCCCATGGTACTCTGGAAGGGTGCTTCTCTCTCGGAGTTGGCAGGGGCGGTATTGCTGCCACTGATTCAGTATCACTGACTCGGTGAGTCAGCACTGGCAGTTTTTAAGGGTTTTAATTAATATGGTTTTTATATGAAAATATGGTTTTTAATATGCAAACAAGCTTGAATGGTTTCCAAACATATATGCAACTGAAAACTCCACACCCCAGAAGTGACTCGAACCCAGACCGCCAGGAGCAGAATGCAACAGGTGTACATGGTACCTTGTCCACTCATAAATGTTACTTCAGGAATGCAGTCATCGGCATTAAACAAAATTCTGTCATAATTACATGATATGTATACCAATGATATTCACAACTCAATTTGTTTGTAATGAGGTATAACAATAATCAATCTAACCATTATCATCAATTACATGTACAGCACTAGGAGCCTGCCGACATCTGTGGGTGGTGCACTAGTGGCTTATGCCTTTCTTTCAATCTATACTGTCGGTCATATGGTACCAATTAGACCATATATCATCGCCTAGAGCCCAACACCCATGTATATTATGTCTATATGGTTGCATTGAAGTATACCAGGTAAACCAATCATCAATTAAAAATTATACATTATGTGATTATCAAGTTATTCAACACACATACACGTGTAAATAAAGAGGAAAGTGATAAACAATCAATGAAACATCAGAGGGAGAGCATAGAAGTTTTGTACCATATACCTGGGTCAGCAAATTTGACATTGTGTGTTAACAGATGCCAGACCACACAGTTACCATGCAACCTTTCAGAGTGCCTCCACCCAGTAAAATGGTAAAAATTCACTTATTTGTGGGTATGAACATTTTTCCATAGCCACTGTCTGTAGGCTAAGAATCTAAACAAGGAGGCTGTCAAGGCCATATACATTGCTATTGTGAGACCATTACTTGAGTATGCAGCACCAGCATGAAAACCACACCTTGTGAAGCATAAACAAACTTGAGAAAGTTCAGAGGTCTTTCTTTCAGAGGTTTGCATCTAGATTTGTAACAGAATTGAAAGGCCTCAACCATAAGAACAGATTGAGAAAACACTGCCACACAATCTTAGAGAGAAGAAACATAGCGGATATGATAACTACATACAAGATCTTGAAGGAACAAAGGTAAAGTGGATAAAGGAAGCCAATTGAAATTAAGGAGCATGTTACGCGATTTTAAATGTTGTCCAACCAAATTTTTTTTTACTAGTTGCATATAAGAAGGGCTGCAACTGTTCTACGTTTCAGTATCACACCCTAAATAGAAAGGGAAGGATTTTTTTTTTCCAGTGAATTTTACACATTTTCAATAATTCTCTACAACCACAAGTTTCAAATGAAATAATTTCTATAATACTCATCTATCATATTAGCATGTAATAAAGGATTTTTATAAAAAGGATTATCCAAAACATGTTAAGTTTTACTAATACAAGTAGTCAAAGATCCCCAAAAATATATGCCAATATTTATAAAATCAATAAATGAACTTGGGAATAAAGAGCTTTAAAAAGGTTGTAGACGCAAACTCTACATATAAGGTGTGAATTTCATGTAAATTGAAACAAATGAAAGAGGAGAGTAAATTTTATGTTACTTGACAATAAATAAGATCAAAGATTCTGCCATCTGTGGTTGAAGTTGACTTCAACCAATTTCCTCCAAAATTTGCATCCTTACAGATAGGCTTACGTTCTGTAAGGTATACAAGTTTCATGCAAATCGGCTGATAAAAAATGAGAACAAAATTCAAGATTTTTTTTTATTTTTTTTATCATAAAACTAAATATTAAAATACTTTATTATATGCTATTGTAATAGCTTAGTCATAGACATGATTTCAGTTGACACTTGTGTTTGACGTTAATTTTTTACCATTTTGGAAAAATTTTGACATATAATTCAATATTTTTTCTCCCTTCCTATTTATGCTACGATGCTGAGACTTGGACCAGTTGAACCAAATTCTATATACAACTAGTCAAAAAAGTTTGATTGAAATCAAACCAGTTTTCATTTAGGGCATATTTCCGTAATATGCCCCCTTATACAGAAGTAGGACAAGGGGACATTGGTATAAACTGGACATGCAATTGAGTAGAATAAATGAAAGGAAGTTCTTGTTCCCTGTGTGGGTGGTAGGCAATTGGAATGCAATGCAGGAAGAGGTTGTTGAAGTAGTTCCATGCACAGCTTTAAAAAGAAGCATGATGAAAATATTTATGTTTAGAGGAGTAATTAGCACATCAGGTATAAACTGCTAGATCTCACTCTCCTGTAGTGACCCTGTAGTGACAGGTAAGCACAGCAATAGGCAAATCATTGAAGGAATACAACAGCTGAGCCAGTAGCTCCTGGTGGTGGAAAGGTGGAATTAGCAGTTGACCTACCTAGCTACTGTGACTCGCTTTCTGGTTTGTTGACTTTTTTCATGCTCTTATCAGTTTTCTGTAGATATTTTATCACAGTGATTTAGTATTCTCAGCTTTCAACCTCAGATTTTAGCTTCTGGTCCCAGATAAGCTTTTTATGACTTACAAGGGCCTGGTGCAATTTTATATGTGTACAGCTATCCAAATGGGTAGTAACAAGGAGCCACTGATGGATCCCTCCTAGAAAGGTTAGGAATCACTGTTGCATATATTTAAAAAACCTGCATTGAATGTAATGAAATGCCAATTTCTGGATGCGCTCCAGTGGCTTCCTGAAGCTGTATGCCGAGATCATTACTGTATCATCTACTGGGCCACATCAGCTGCAGAGTTCTAGAGGCCTACTGGGGACTAGCGCCCGAACCCAGCCCCCTCACAGATGCACTGGGAGTGGTGACATTTATTTTAGCCACCACACTTGGGAAGGCATCCAAAAAATCAGGGAGTTAAAACAAACGCACTGCACATCTCGGAACACACGAGAGGAGAGGCATCTGTAAAAAACATCGAATGAGGGGAAGGGGGTTAAGAAGAAACCAGGAAACTGAATCCTGAAAAGCCCAAAGAGGAAGCCAGTGATGCAGCAGCCAGCAAAGGACAAATAGGGTCTGCACCCATCTGTCATAAAGGTGGCAAAAGGGGCAGAACAGACCCTAAAGCCACACACTGCCCAGTGGAAAACCATCAGGTGAAAGTTAAGGCTCCCACACAACCTCTCAAGTAACCAGTGAGTCACCTGGGGGGCCACCCTAACACCGGCAGGCAGCAGTGTTGCAGCCGAACCAAATCTGCCAGAGGATGAGAAAACAGTGCAAATCAAGAATTCCACACATGATGCAGCCAGGTCTGAACCTAGGAAGGAACCAATTCCACCGGTTCACAACAAACAAAAAAGCAGCAAGCTGGGAGAGATAGATCCCTAGCTAGCAGACATGCAGACTGATTGGGGCCCACACCATCTAGCTGTTGAGGTAGGGCAGAACATGAATCCCCCAAAAATGAAGATGAGTCACCGAGACAATCTTGTGAAAGCGTGGGAAGCCATATTAAAGTCAAAGAGAAGAACCCAAAAATGGTAAGCCTGACACTCCACAACAATGAAACCTAACCAATCCCTGAACCCCGGGTGAATTGGGACGTGCCAGTACCTGTCCCGGTCTAGAGATATCATCCAGGAGCCTGCCACTAATATGAGGGAAACCTGGGCCAAGGAGCTCATTCAGGATGTGGGGCAAAGGGATGAAGTGCTTCAAACCTGATAGATCAAGGATGAACCACTGGGACCCATTTCAGAACAAGAAAGACAGGAATTCCATTGATAAGACGTGGTCGTTTTGACCACACCACACAGAAAGCAATCCATTATGAAATGACCCGATGCAGGGGAGGGAAAGAGGTCCACCCCAAAAGTCCCGACCCCTAGACAGGGCAAAAGACTAACCAACCTTACTGCAGGCTGCATAAAACAGCTCATCCTCCTGTTTTGATAGTACTTATCGTAACAATGGGGACCATAGTATATATACTGACATACAATGAAATTAGAAAGTAGAAATCGGCACTACTGAATTGGTCAAACCGGAAACTATTTTTTAATTGTGTTGCAGACAAACTACACTAACCTAACCTTCCTAGGCCTAATACACATTATCTGAGGCCTAATATAGTACATGTGTGTGCTATTCTAGGCCTAGGAATATTTAAATTTTTTTAGCTTAATTTTTTTTTAAAGAATTCCTTACTAGTAAGTATGCTATCTAAAAGCAAAGTGCGTATGAATTCGTGACTATCGACGATCGTCACAATAGGTACCATCTAAACAGGAGAATGGGTTGCATAAACTGACCAGAAAAGCCCATGAAACATGGGACCAGGAGATGGCAAACTAAGTAAACTGCTCCTTCCCCACTGCCCCGTCAAAGGAACGAACTGCAAAAGGACCGCCGTGAACCATGAGTAAAGGTTCACATGGCAGTCCACAAAGAGAGAGCACTGCACTGATCAGCAGAGGGTGAACAGGCTATGGTAGGCACATACAACCTGGAATCTGGCACCACTGTTGGCCTACCATAACCAACAGCAAGTGATGCCACAGCCCTACCAGACTGCCTCCAGTAATGAGACTGGTTGCCACAAGTACAAAGATGGTCCAAAATAAGCCAACGAGATGCAGCAGCAGAGAAAGAGACTGTCCAACAATATCCTTTGGAAAGAGGAGAGGTGAAAAGAGGGAGGTGGACAAGAGGGCCTGGGCCCATGCCAATTCTAATGACTGAGCTAAGATAGCTTGTTGATACGTAAGGCGGGCAGAGTAGAAAGCGGCCACAGCCTTTAGTAGCATAGGCGCTATAGCTGGCGCAAAGCTGCCAACGATGCCACAGCAGACAGCAAATCACCAGTACAAGGCCCAGAGCTGAGTGCCTTAAAGTCCTCATAGACACACTAGAGTGCGGCTCCACGATGCCTAGAAATGCCACAACCGTAGCCAAATGTGAGGGAACGCTAAAAATCCTCAGCCATGAGTGATGCCAACAGCAAAGGTACTTGAGTATGGAGCTGCACCAAACCATCCCAGGAAAGAGCAGGAGTTTAAAAGATAGTAAATGAGCGGCACAAAAGAAGGGCTGCCCAAACACATCTAAAATACAGTAGCCACCTCATGCCACTCCAGTGTGTGTGTGGAATGAAATGTGTGAAATCTATGCCAAGCCCCAAGAAGAAAAAACAAAAAAAAAGTTGAATGTAATGAAAGGCCATTTTCTGGGAGAGACCTGGAGGCTCCCCGGAGCTATCCAGGCTGATATGGATATATTAGACTTTAGCATCAGTCAGTGTGAATAGAGTTTTTAGGCCTACCGGGGACCACGAGCCAGAACCTGGCCCTCTCAGAAAGGCATGAGGGGCAATAGCCTATAGAGCTGCACATGTGATTTGAAGCATTCTATGTCTGCCATCGACCGGGTCAGGAACCCAAAAAGGTATGCATCCCAAAACAAACCCTTATTCTGGTTGAAACTACTACTGAAAGTCAAACGAGTGGACAGAACTCTCCAAAAAAAAACCAGCATTGAATGTAATGAAACACCATTTTCTGGACGAGACCCTGGAGGCTCCCCGGAGCTATCCAGGCTGACATGCTAATTAATGTCAAACTTTGGCATCAGTCATGTGTATGGAGTTCTGTGGGCCTACCGGGGACCACGAGCCAGAACCTGGACCGCCCACAGAGGCACGAGGAGCAATGGTCTATAGAAACCCCTGTATGGTTGGAAGCATTCTATGTCTGCCATCGAGTGGGTAATATATCCATATCAGCCTGGATAGCTCCAGGGAGCCAAAGGGGCTCCCCTCAGAAAAGTCTGCTACCTGGGAAAACTCTAGGACCTCATAATGCAACTAAAAGGAGGACGAAGACCCAAAGTCATAAAGTCATAAGAGGCAAGCTCCATCAAACAGGCATATTCCAAATCATGGAAGACCCAAAGTCAAAAGAGGCAAGCCCCATCAAACAGGCATATTCCAAATCATGCAGGAGGTAGTAGGATATGGAAACTCCTTTCCTAGGTACCAAGACACAGGTTTAAAAAAAAAAAAAAAAACTGCATTTTTACCACTATCACCTTTCACAGTGAAAAGTGTTATTACTTATTCAAAAAATTTACTACATAGAATATTTTTACACTGAATATTATACATGACATGAGTTTAACAAGTTTTAAGAATTCATACAATTATTCATACTCAAATATTTCCCAGTCAAGGCAAGTGATGGCAGCTTTACTTTACAGCAAAACTACCATATATGATACTTTAAATTTACTCAGGTCAAAGTTAGCAATTATTTCCATACAATAGTATGGGGCATGGTAGCACAGTAATCAAAAGAATAAATTGTTAGACTATGAAGAGGAAAATATTAATTCAGTTCTAAACTGCTTGACTGGGATATTTATAAATATATATAACAAATTAAAGAATAAGGAAACAAAATGCAAGTGGAAGTGTTTGCTAACTGCATTTTGAGGGGGTAATTACCTGTTTCTTGCTTACCTGCCAAGAGGTGTCCCTCTTGAGCAACTCTCTTAATGCCACAGATGCATATGATGATGATGGCAAGGTCATTTCTACAATCACAGATTTGTTTGGACCATCTGCCAACGAAAAATATGATAAATTAACTCTGACAATTATTATTTATGTAAAATTCCTGGAACTTATACTAATTTCAAGACAAATGAAAAACAGTGACTACTTTCATCAACATAAACTTGATACATATCTCAGGTTAAGAACAGGATGATATAACAAATACAAGGCAAAGAGAAAATTAGGGAGCCATGACGAGGATTCAAATACAAGGCGATGACAAGGGTAGCTCTAAGCTAATGGATAAGGAGGGTCTTAAACTAGCATAACTAGGGATTGGGGGGGGGGGGGAATAGATCTAGATCAGTTTGCAGCAATTATTGCTCAATGTGGAACTTGAAGTCAGTGGTCAATCAGATCTAGACTAAGCTACCGTATTTCCTAGATAGGGAATATATTTTTCTTCCTTTTTTCCATTTTAACCCTTAAGGTGTGATTATTGTCATGTGTTGATTCATGGAGTAATGCAGTAATCATCCCATAATGATTTAGATATTATTGTCTCTATATAAATGTAGTGGAGCTTACCTAAAGCTCTGAAAAAAGATCCTGCTTTTGTTTCATAATTGTTTACTACGCAAATGCTGTTATCACAAATGTTGTTATGGCAATGCAGCAATCGTGGTATAAAATTCCATTATAATTACAAGATTTGCATACTGATTATGTTCACTTGGTTTTTACAACTCAATATGGTTGTAATGAAGTATACCAGGTCAAGCAATCATTATCTAATCCATTATCATGTGATATGTGCACCAGGGCCTGACATCATCACTAGGTGCACATTGGGTTTTCTGCTTTTGGTCCTATGGGGTAGGACCCCAATTAGGTCCTATGATTTTGCCAAGTAGCCATTCTCAATTAATAAATATACAAATTATGGCAAATATTGGGTGCAGTCATTTACAATTGATCACAGGAGTGAGCCTGTTGCCATAACACCTGCACTCCTTCCATCACCAAGCTCTGCTCTCCCACCTAGAGTGAAAATGGTCCCATTACAATCATGAACAACTTTGTATTCACTATTTGTAATTACCTAAGTGAAGTTACAGGATGAAAGCTACTCTCGTGTTGTCCCAACTTCTCAGCACTCTATCATGTAACGCTTTGAAATTACTGACAGTTTTGGCCTCCACCACCTTCTCACCTAACTTGTTCCAACTGTCTACGACTCTGTTTACAAAAGTGAATTTACTGATATTACTCTGGCAGCTTTGTTTCATTAGTTTAAATCTATGACCTCTTGTTCTTGAAGCTCCAGGTCTCCAGGTCCCTATCAATTTTATTGATTCCTGTTACTATTTTGTACATAGTGATCATATCGCCTCTTTTTCTTCTATTGCCTAGATTTTGCATATTCAATGCCTCTAACCTCTCCTTGTAGCTCTTGTCCTTCAGTTCAGGGAGCCACTTAGTGGCATGTCTTTGCACCTTTTCCAGTTTGTTGATGTGCTTCTTAATTAAGATATGGGCACCATACAACTGCTGCATATTCCAGCTTTGGTCTAACAAAAGTTGTGAACAATTTCATTAGTATTTCTCCATGTATTTAAAAGCAATTCTGAAGTTAGAAAGTGTAGCATAGGCTCCTAGCACAATGTTCTTAATGTGGTCCTCAAGTGACAAAATACAGTCCAGAACCTAGTTCTCTTTTGTTGTCCACGATCGCCTTTCCACATAATTTGTAGGTTGATTGTTGCCAATTTTCTTCTATTCCACAGTACAGTTGTAGAATTAGTAATTAATTCACATATACACATAATTAAATATACACCTGTGCATCTTGACCAATGACTCTTGTTCTGTTATTCTTTATCTGTAAATTACTGTCACTATCTTCTTAGTATATTCCCCTTTAATCATATTGACTCTTGTCCTTATTACTATCAATGCTATTTTATTTAGTTCTCTTGGCATGCCCTCAAAGTTAATCTTCACATCTTTCTTATGCAAATCATATGACTTTCTAAAATTAAATTCTTGGGCTTTTGCCAGGTGGGAGTTCCATGGTAGAGATACAAACTTCAGGACTGGAAAATAACATCTGGAGAGGAATAAAAGCATTTCTAAGGATTACTGTAGCTGTTTACATTCTTTAAATTCAGTGTTATGTTTGCTATTCTTGTATAAGCTGCTGATGTTATTCTAGATAGAATTAATCCACCCATCATTCTCCCTCCTTCTGTTTCTTAATATCTGTGTCATAGAGCTTGATCAGGCTCTTATTCTAAAAACATTGCTGGCTTTTGGATATTTATTCCTCTCTGGATATTCCACTATTCTCTTTCTAAAAATCTTCACTAATATTTGTTCATTTTACAGTTCATTAAAATTTGTGTACCAAATCTTTATATGTCTATTTGTTTAATATTCTTGAACATCTCCAGCCACCAACTCATTTGTTGAAACCCTTTAAAATCTGCCACCAGTCATATGGTCACAACCTATAGATTTTTCTTGTAGCACCATGCAGAAGTTTTGAAAGTGTGAAGTATATATGTCAAGATGTTATCAAAATATATAATGAAAACCAATTTTGCTGTAAGTAAAAGAAAATAATTAGCTACATTTAGCAGGGACACCTACTTATCTATCATGTACATGTAAAATAAAATTTAAATTATTACCTTTGAGAACATTATCATCAACTTTGATTCCCCACAACTTGTCCATATCTGACTGCAGCAGTGATTTAGATGCATCCCTGTAGTAACAAACTTTTCCCGATGTGTTTGTAGGTACCACCACCATTCTTCGATACACACCACGTGCTGCATAGGCTCTGGAAAAATTATAATACATGTATAAGCAAGGCATTCAATTTACTACCTAAAGATTCTCTTGGCAACAATGCAGGATAAAATGAGTTTAAATTTTAACTTTTTATGCTAATGATAATAAAATTAGCATAATTTTATGCTAATTTATGCACAGCCATTATAACACTAATGGCTGTGTAGTGAATTCAGCCATTAACCCTTTAACTGCACAACGCACCTGCAGGCCCACGTCTGGGGTGCGCTACGCGCCTCCAGGTACAATGGGGCCTCGACTTACGATGCTAATCTGTTCCCAGAGACGGATCGTAAGTCGAAATATCGTCAGTCGAAGCAATTTTTCCCATAAGAAATAAAGGAATTTGAATTAATACATTCCCCACCCTCCAAAATATTAACATGCAAATACATTTTATACTGAATACAATGTTTTTTCTAACTACAATACCTAAGTTTATCTGACCTTTATGGAGGGCTCTTGATGGCATATGGAAGATGGTGATGAGAGGGGAGGAGGAGAGTTGTTACTGTTTGGAAGGGGACTTCCCTTCTATTATCACATCAGGCAGTGATGTTTTCTCTGGTGGTACTCTCTCTCCTACGTTTTGCCTGAATACCACTAGGACCTGGTTGTGGTTCAGTGCTTGTTTGTCTCACTACAAATTTGTCAAGAGACATTTGTTTTTTCCTTCATTTTAACATTTGTCTGTAATGATGTATCATTTCAGCATCCATAATGTCCTCTTTCTTAGCCAGTATGGTGGATATCATTGACAGATTTCTTGTACTGCCTGGCCAGTTCAACAACCCGCACACCATCTTCATATTTACAAATGATCTCTTGTTTCTGCTCTATGGTCATCCTTACATGGGATTTCATATGTTGAGCCTTACTACTGACTTTCCTGAGACTCATGGCATGATATATAATAATGACTTTTATGTTCAAAATGCAAAAAAAAATCACCACAAAAGCAAAATTTCTTATAGGCGCGATCATCACTAAGCGGGTAGCTATAGTAAACTGAGGCAGGTCAGCCGCATGACCAGGAACCACGTGCTCGGTCTCCCTGAACGTGTACCAACAAATATCGCAAGTCGACGACACCATTGGATGTCGAGTCGCATTTTTCGATGAAATTTACATCGTAACTCAAAATTATCGTAAGTAGGGGCAATTGTAAGGCAAGGTGCCACTGTATTTGTATTTTTCACGTTCCATTCAAAACTCCCCGGCTACATGGGGTTCACATCAGCTTCCTCAGGGCTCTTGTAAACAGACGCCATCTTTAAAAAAAACTTGTAGTCCACATTCCCGGGTGTGAGAGCAGTCAGTACCAAGTGAGCAACCGAGGCCGGCGCATGCAGCATGAGCTCACAGCACTGCTGTTCAGCTTGTGACCACAGCATCGCCTAATTATGTCAAAATATACATATAACGTGTTTTATTTCACCATGATAGTATTACAGAAGAGCCTGAGTGTGATAATGACTGTGTACAATGTTCAAATATTAGTGATTCAATGCTGTTCACGATGTTCACAGCACTAGCCACAGCACCACAGCATTATTTTGTCCATCTAGGAATCTTATAAACGTGTGGTCAATTATGTATTTACAGGATTTAGTGACCAGTATTGTGATAACAGCAGGATTGTGGTGATAATAAGCACTGTGCGTAGTATTGTTAAGAGAAGGAATTGTGGTGAGGGAGAGAATCGAGAATCGAATATACCAATAACGCAATGCGTTATTGGTATATAGTCGCGTCAGGACGCGAGCCAGCGGCGCTCCAAACACGAGCGTGATAAACAAAGCACTAGGCCCACCGCATGGCCTGACGACCCAGAATGCCATGTGGCATACGGAGGAGAGTGGGAAGACAATAGCGCTCATTTTGAAACCACCTAGTAGTTCATCAGACGAAAATTAAATTTTTTACAAATATTTTAATGGATGACTCGTGCGAGTCATCTGATTACATTAAGGAAAAAACTTATGACAATAATAGGCATCATCGGAGAGCGAAAGTGTTAAAATATAATTTTTATTTTTTATTTTGCTGTTATCTGTTTTGGTCCATTGGCTGTTATCTGTTTTGGTGCATCCTACCTTTCTGGTGGCCTATTCCATCAATTAGTGATCTCGAATCCTATGCTTTTTGTGCCTCTGTGTGGGGACCAGGTTATGCTCTCTGGTAGGCTTTTTAAGACTCGCATGGGGGCTGCTGTGAATGAATTTGGGTGGAGCTTCTGTATCTAGAGTGCCACTGAAGGAACTTTCCCAGAAATAATAAGATTTGATTAACCGATGATCCGGATTACACCATGTCTTCAATGGAATCTAGATTTATTTTGTTTAGAAATCTGAAATTGGTGATTTAGTCCAAATTTTTTTGGGAGTGCCACTCCAACATCATGTGTTGTTCTGTTTCAACTAAGTAGTGGGTTTTTTCCCCTTTGTAGCTGTTCCCATGCACGTTTGTGCTGTGTGAGCAAGGATTGTTGTGCGCTGGAGCTGCATGGGCACTGGGTTCTCTTCTCTGTGTATCCTAGTGCTACCCTTGTGCTGCCTGGTTCTCTTCACTGGAGTGTTTGGGGTTTGCTTCCTTACAGGGCTTCGTCATTTGTAGTGGTAAGTCCATTTGTCTTACTTGGGGTCAGGAGCGAACCCTACTTATACCCATTCCATTGTCGGTATGAATATCCCATTGTATTATAGTAAGTCTCTTTGATACAGAGACATACTTCCCTTCTTGAGGGACTTGTTTTCTATTCAGGGGTTCCAGCATAGTGATCCCAGTGCCTGAGTTTCCTGCAGGGCCATTCCCTGCAAACCATAGAAAATCCCTGTAGGTTTGGTTGGCCAAATGATATCCCCACTGAACCTGCTCTTGCCATGTGCTAGTTTGAGGGTTGTGCATCATCTGCACCACATGGTGAAAAGAACTCTGTGACTGATGGCACCTAGTAGTTTTGCACTATATCAGCAATGTAGCTTCAGGAAGCCACAAGAAGCTCCCCACAGAAAGCTTAGATTTTGAAAAGAAATAGATTCTGTTTAGAAAAAAGGTAGCATGATTATTGGAGGGCCTAAAATGCAGGCTAGATAAATATATGATTGTATTGTTTGTTGCAAATAGAAATTGGTTCACAAGGGCAAGAAGGCTTACTCCAGTCTCATTTTCTTATGTTTCTGAAAAACAGAGTAAAGATATAACAATGCTAGTGTGCATGTTCTCTCTCTCTGACACTGCATACCTGGAGAAGGTTTCGAGAGTTCTTCTACACTCCGAGCCCCAGCCCCTTGACTTGTGATAACTTGCTCCAACAGGCTGTTGCTTGGAGTGGCCTGCAGGCCCACTTATTCACTACAGCCTGGCATACTCAAACTTTAAAAAACACTGAAACATCTAAATCTATATATAATGAATAACTCTTTGATAACTTACTTAATTTCGTGTTTAAGGGCATTAAAGGTAAGCCCATCAGTCTCAAGCATCTCAGCATACCACTCCTTGATTTCATTGTTTGGGTACTCCACATTGTATCCGGGTAATGGCAGCACAACCTGCAATAATTATACATACAGTATTCATATTCTTGAGACTGAAACACACTTACAATGAAAGTTATATACAATACAGAATTTGAAATAAGCTAGAAAATGGCACTGCAGTAAGCAGTTTATTTGTGAAGCAGTTATGAAAGTCTTTATGAAACTTTTCGTTCTTACCACCGTCTAGGTGCTTCCGTCATGATTCAGGAAGTTATTTACGAACACCGATCCTCCCAAGAACACAGCTTCACACTTGACACCTCCAGAACACTCGTAGCTTTACAAGCACCAAAGTAATGTTTTTCTTGACTGCACAACCTTACACAATCAGGAACTAAAAATACTGTACAGTACTGTACCTTCATTGGTGGGTCTCGGTCAGATCCCGGCCTGCCAGCAATACTGTATACTGCCTTTAACTTGTATTAAATATGTATTTTGTGAAAATACAAATACAAATTATCATAGAAAGATATTATATAAATATCTAGTAAATCAATATTAACCTGCTTAATGGGGTTCTGAGAGGAGTTCTACTCCCTAAGCCCGGCACAAGGCCAGGCTTTAAATTAACTGCTGTTCACTGGAACTAAGAGAAGCCAGTAGTTAATGTACTTTTCCAACATACCAAATTTTTTTGCAAATAGAAATAGGTCACCCATTATTAAAGTTTTAAAATATTTTAGTAATTAGAGGCCTACATATTATATTATTCATGGCAAATTAAATATTGAAGACTAAGCCAATGAATTTGAGTCAGAATAAGTCTTGCATAACTCTTTTCATATGTGCTGCATTCAAATTCTGTACTGTTTATACTGTAATTTAAAATAGCTTATTCATATAATATGAAGAAAATAATAAATTATTAATAAATAAATAATAATAAATAATAATAAATAGTAAGCTTAAAATAGCTTACTCGTATAATATGAAGAAAATAATAAATAATAAATCATTACCTAATCTGGCTTAGGCGTATTATTTATGTATTGAAGAACATATTTTAATGTGGTCAACATTTCCAATTTGTAAATCATACATGTTATTAACAGGTTGCATCATATGCTGTTACAGTTTCACCTAAGAAATAATGGTCATATAGCAAGAACACTTTTAGGTGGGGACTTTATATTATTAAACAATTGTCATATTTAGTATCGTATTATATGGAAATGTCATCTGTCTAATTTTATGTATCTTAATTAATTAATAATTTTATTTGTTAAATATGTCTGCAAATTTCAAGCAATGTTAGTTTATTTAGGCCTTTCTTATAAAAAACTCTACAGAGTAAGTTATATATTACTAAGAAAAGTAGCTTACTATAAATTGTCTCCTGTGCTTTGCAATGTATCTAATATTGTCATTAGTTCTTTTGTGGTCCAAATTTTAAAATATTTCCTAAAATTCCATTTACAGTATTTTTCTATTACTATAGGACTAGTTTTAAAATACACGACTTTATTTTGCGAACAATTTGATACCAAAATGAAACACGTACCACAAAAATTTATGTTATCAAACTGAACGAGTATATATATTAGTCTGTAGGTGCACCAACTGGCGCTCGTTCACGGGTAACTTGACCGACTTTAGGCTTTTCTGTGGAGTCACGCGGGGCTTTTAGACCTTATATGCATATACCCCGTAGGGAATTCTATTGTGAACACAATGATACCAAAACAAACGACGTAGTACGAGTAAGGTGAGAAAACTGAAACGAGTATACACATTTTACTGATTTTGCGTGCTCACAGGTAACTTTGCCGACTTTAGGCTTTGCTGTGTGGAGTCACGGCGGGCTTTTGGACCTTATATGCATATACCCCTGTAGGAAATTCTATTGCGAACACAATGATACCAAAACAAATGATGTAGCATGAGAATTAAGGTGAGAAAACTGAAACGAGTGCACACTTTTCGGGGCTTGTGGATGGGGCTGCTCGTCACCTGAGGATTGTCTGTGTTATTTATTGTACACATCGTATTATATTTAATGTAACATAACATTCCTTAATAATAATAATAACAATTCAATGACTGATTTGAACTGCAAGTATTTGATGGATGTATATTTGCCAACTTTTAGCACTACTACATGTAACTTTTAGCCCTACTACATGCAGTAACATTTGTTGCTACCTTACCTTGCAGTTACCTTGCAATGGTAACGGGGTCAAGGTTCCCGCGACCCGGTCATTGACCAGGCCTCCTGCATGATGGCCTGGTGATGGTCTAGCCTACAACACTTATCCAGCCCATACATGAAAATATTTAATGCAGTACTTACATCAGCAATGTCGGCTACCTCCGCTTCTTCTTCAGTGAGGAAGTGAAAACCAGACATATTTTGACCATTAGCCTCAGTGGTCTCCATCTCGGGTTTGCTTTCTGATTCATCTTTGCTCTCTTCACCTTCGGCTTCATTCTCATTGTTTTCATCTTCCATTTCTGGTAGCGAATAAAAAATTACACAATATATTACTTTTGGCAAGAGAATAGATTTTCACAGCTGTCTTAGTTGTGCAAAATAAGTGCACGAGAGTATGTAAATAGTGTGAAATCTCCAGAGTGCACATTGTCAGAATGCACAGACCTAGATTCTTTAATTAGTGGCTTAAGTCTTCCATATTAGGTACCTCCGGATAGTCTGGAGATACAGGGATGCAAATTATAGTACTGTATCATCCTTTGCAGATGACACTAGAATTTTCATGAGTAGACAATATAGAGGACACTGCAAACCTCCAATCTGATGTTAAGGCTTTCAATGGGCATGGGAAAATAACATGTTTAATGAGGACACGTTTCAATTACTGCACTATGGAAAAAACACAACTATCAAAGCAGAAAATGGACATAAAACAGTCAAATCACAACATTGAAAGAAAAAGCAATGAAAAATATTAATGAGTAATCCTGTAGAAAAACCGTACTTTTTATAGGATCGAACCCAGGGACTACAGGATCACAAGTCCAGTGTGCTGTCCGCTCGGCCGACCGGCACCCACAGATGATGATAGGCTCGTAACCTAGTACATGTACATAAGGCACTACGGGCTCACCATAGCCTGTGCTACTTGGAACTTTGTTCCAGGTAGCGAATCTTTAACAACAACAACAAATAGTACATGTACTACATGTACTAATTGATGGTTGGTTTACCCGGTATACCTTACTCTATGTGGAAACCATATATACATCATTGGTATACATATCATGTAATTATGAATAAACTGGATTTAAACTCAAAACAATCGTTTAAATCGTCATATGACGATAACTACTTTATCCATGAATCCACATATGACAATAAGCATTGTTTGAGGGTTCCAGAACCTCTGTAAGCAAAGAATATTCTACATTATTCCATTCTGAGCAAGAAAAAGGGTTTACATGATAATCACTCACCATCTACTTCAGTATTGGAGCCCTTGCGTCGAACGATGTCTCCAGGTAGCACCTTAAGTCCATACTTTTGAACCCGCCGAGATGCTATTGTGTTCCACATCCAACTCTGGTATGCATGGAGGTATAGTGTGCGAGTAGTGCGTGGGATCTGAAAACATAGTGAACAAACACAATTCAGCAATTAGTAATGTTTTGACTGCATGTGGGCTATATAAGACATATAGATTGCTATCACAAAAATCAAAGAATTTAATATATGACTATATCTAATCATAGAGGTTATACAAATATGATATGATACATACAAGTCCCACTCGGAGGGTACAAAACCCAAGCGGGGTCCAATAGGCCCCAAACCAACCCCTCCCCTGCACCAGGAACCTCCCCCATGAGGACCCCGGGGCCGAGCCGTCCCCCATACCCTCTGCCTCAAAAGAAATGACAGGAACAGCTGAGAAAGCAGGATCGAAGGGGACCCCACTGGAGAATCATGCACGAATCCCTCCGTCGCCACCCCGGAAGGGGCATTCTCCAAAACCACCCGAGTGTCACCATCAACTAAACCCTGCCCCGACTCCGAAACCCTCAGATGGTTTGGAGCCGGAAGCAAGGGAAAGGACAAGGGAGTGCAGACGGAACCAAAGCCAAGAAGACTAATACACTCCAAATCCAGGTCCCTATAACCAAAACGGGGCAGTCTCGGGGAATCTGGGGAAGCAACCAACATAGCGCGTTGCAGCAACCTAAATTGATCATGCAACGCCGAAGCTGCCTGCATTCGCATATCATGATCACTGGACTAGGTGAACTGGAATACGAACAAGGAACAAGACTCACAAGACTCCGGGTCGAACGTGTCACCGACCCAGCAGGCATGACGGAGGCACAATCGATGAGTGTCACTCTTGAGACAAGAGGACAGAGCAGCCTTCAAACTCGCACGTAGCAAGAGGGGGACCCAGGGGTTGCATCCATCGAACCAAAGAACCCCCAATTTGTTTCCCCATGGCTTTAGGCATGTTATCTCGCAATGGGAAGCCTAAGTAAGGTACTGGTCCGGCGCCCAAACACTACTAAGTAAACTGCTAAAGCTGAACTCCCGGGACATGTGCACTTGCGGGGGCCTAGCGGAGGACCACCAAGATACAATAGGGTGAGACCAAACCCTCCACCAGGCAGGAAAATAAAAATGAAAAGAAAACCCCACAAGAGGACAGCGTGCCCAGGCAAAACAGAGTCGGCCACTATGAAAGGTGATAACTAGCTGCAAAGTACCCTGCGCCCCAACCAGTGACAAAAACTATTCCCTACCCAGAGGCATACAGGGAAGCAAGAAACACCCCAGCTGACTCCAAGAGCGGTCAATCATCGAACAGAAAAAGACAGCAGAGGTAGATTCCAAGGTGACTTGTGAAAGGTAACCACAAGCCCCCAAGGGCAGTACTTACAGGACACCTACCTGCTTGATGGGGTTCTGGGAGTTCTTCTACTTCCCAAGCCCGGCCCGAGGCCAGGCTCGACTTGTGAGAGTTTGGTCTACCAGGCTGTTGTTTGGAGCGGCCCGCAGGGCCACATACCCACCACAGCCCGGCTGATCCGGAACTTCTCTTAGAAAACAGTCCAGTTTTCTCTTGAAGATGTCCACGGTTGTTCCGGCAATATTTCTTATAGTCGCTGGGAGGACGTTGAACAACCGTGGACCTCTGATGTTTATACAGTGCTCTCTGATTGTGCCTATGGCACCTCTGCTCTTCACTGGTTCAATCTTGCATATTCATCTATATCGTTCATTCCAGTACGGTGTTATTTTACTGTGTAGATTTGGGACCTGGCCCTCCAGTATTTTCCATGTGTATATTATTTGGTATCTCTCTCGTCTCCTTTCTAGAGAGTACATTTCGAGGGCTTTGAGACGATCCCAATAATTTAGGTGTTTTATCTCGTCTATGTGTGCCGTATATGTTCTCTGTATTCCCTCTATTTCAGCAATCTCTCCTGCTCTGAAGGGGGAAGTGAATACTGAGCAGTACTCGAGACAGGACAACACAAGTGACTTGAAGAGTACAACCACTGTGATGGGATACCTGGATTTGAAAGTTCTCGTAATCCATCCGATCATTTTTCTGGCTGACGCGATATTTGCTTGGTTATGCTCCCTAAACGTTAGATCGTCGGACATCATTATCCCCAAATCCTTGACATGCTGTTTTTCTACTATGGAAAGATTCGATTGTGTTTTGTACCCTGTATTATGTTTCAGATCCTCATTTTTGCCGTACCTGAGTACCTGAAATTTATCACTGTTAAACATCATGTTATTTTCTGCTGCCCAATCGAAAACTTTGTTGACGTCTGCTTGTAGTTTTTCAATGTCTTCAGCAGAGGTAATTTTCATGATGATTTTTGTGTCATCTGCAAAGGACGACACGAAGCTGTGACGTGTATTTTTGTCTATATCAGATATGAGAATAAGGAACAGGAATAAGGACTGTACCATGAGGTACAGTCCTACCTAGGGAAGGGAACCCTAAGCACATGCAGCCCAAGTACTGGAGAAATTACTCCTGGCTTGCACACCAACGTAGAGACACCACCACACCAAAAGGCTGGTGGAACTGTAAAATTCCGGAGACAGAGGCACACAACCTTGCCAGTTCCACATCAGCCACAGAACTGCAGAGTGGGAGAGCAGTCTCTGCAGAGCAGTCTGGGACTTTCCCTTACCCCCTCCCGGGGAGAAAGGGGGGGGGGGGGTGCGCAGACAGTGACAGTCATCATGCTCGTTATAATTTTGGAAGTTTTGTCCCCTAGTTTGGCTTTCAGTAGCAATATTTTAACCAAAATAGGGGTTTGTTTTAAGGGGATTACCTTTGTGGGTGCCTGACTCGGTTGTTGACAGGCATAGAATGTTTCCAACCACACGGGGAATAGGCCATTGTTCCTTGTGCCTCTCTGAGGGGACCAGGTTCTGGCTCATGGTCCCCAGTAGGCCTAGAACTCCATGCACATTGACAGATGCCAGGGTCTAATACATTCATATCAGCCAAGATAGCTCCGGGAAGCCGAAGGGGCTCCCTACAGAAATTAAATAAAATTACCAGGAAGGTGATGGAAGTTGCAATGGGACTGACAACATAAATACTGTAATACGTCTTATGCAATGAAACGGCTTCATTCCATATACTGGTACTGTAGTACATCCAAGCAACCTCACACTACTATATTACATACTAAAAAAGTTCAGTACCCCTTTGTAATATTATCGTCATTTTCATTATTATTTATGTATATTGCATATAATTTAATAATCTTACCCGGTTTAGGGCTTCTACAAGATCATTTCCTGTCAGCTGTGAAAGCCCAGTCAGTAACTGGTTCTCAACTGTTGCTTCCCAGCCCTTACACAACATTTTGAGCGCAGCCTCAGCATCTCCTGTTTCTTTCCATGTGGTATGACAGCGATGAAGGTCAGGAACATCATTATCACGAGGAGCAAGAATTAAATTTACAGCCTGAAAACAGAAAAGAAATTAAGTGATTTTAAACATTCTTTCATTATTTTATTTCCATTTAATTCTTCTTCCCTTAACCAATCTCACATTAAAGAAGTAAATAAATACAGTACTGTTTAAATAACAGCTGAGGAAGCTCGCATCAAATGGATACAAATTTCAAATTTGAAGAAAACTATCTATAATTGCTCTTGCTATATACTCATGCCTTCACACTCATGCACAAGAAAAAAAATCTGATTTTTGTTAACATTGTTAATTGGCATCCAGGATGCACAAAGATACATGTAAAATGTCTCTCTACCTATAGAAAGGATACCTGATCATCCAGAATTCAATCTTTTCAGATGTGATAGAAAACATAGGCTACAGGGTGGGGTCAGCCTGTACATCAAAGACACACTTATCTGTACAGAGTTGCTAAACATTACAAACGACATGATAGAAATGCTGATAAAGTAATAAAAAAAAATTCTAAATGTGGTGACTGTCCTTGTATATATATCACCAGATGCAAATCCTAAGCAGTTTAAAGTTTAAATAGAAAACTGCTTAGAAAATCTCACAAACCCTGCCCCAAACATCATCTTGTTTGGCGACTTCAACTTACTTCACCTAAAATGGAGAAATGTGGCAAATACAGTTATACCAGAGAGAATCCCAAGAAGCTGTTTAAGTAAACAGTCACATACAGATGACCTCTTCCAAATATGTGACAGAATTGCCTTAAACCAGCAAATAGTAGAACCAACTAGGAAAGAAAACACCTTAGATCTTATCTTTACAAATACGATCAACTGATTAGGGACATAATAATTACAAATACAGGTACATGTTACTCGGATCAGAACCTAATTGAAGTTCTGACATGCATAGGCAATAAACCTTTGCAGCCAGTCTCAAAGCCAAGAGTAGCAGAATTCAGCAATATGGTGTATGTATGTATGTATTCATCTAGTTGTGCTTGCGGGGGTTGAGCTCTAGCTCTTTGGTCGCACCTCTCAACTGTCAAATCGACTGGTGTACAGATTCCCGAGCCTACTGGGCTCTATCATATCTCCATTTGAAACTGTGTATGAAGTCTGCCTCCATCACATCACTGCCTAATGCATTCCATCAGTTAACTACACTGACACTGAAAAAGTTTTTTCTAACATCCCTGTGGCTCATTTGGGTACTCAGTTTCCACCTGTGTCCCCTTGTTCGTGTACCACCTGTGTTAAACAGTTTATCTTTATCTACCCTGTCAATTCCTGAGAATTTTGTAGGTAGTGATCATGTCTCCCGTTACTCTTCTGGGGCAAGATGCATGAAGCAGTTATGCAAGTACTTACGAATGTGTACATCTTTTCTCAATCTTTAACGGCTTTGGTTACATTTATTAAACAGTTTACAAGCATGAAAACTTGCCAATTAACTGTTGTTATTGTTATAAACAGCCTCCTGGTGCTTCGCAGCTCATTAACTGTTTAATAATGGTAAACAAAGCCGCCAGATTGAGAAAAGATGTACAGGTTCGTAAGTGCTTGCGTAACTGCTTCGTGAATCTGGCCCCCCCATCTTCCAGTGTCGTGAGATGCCTTTCACGCAGCCTGTACTCGTAACTCACGCCTCTTTGCTCTGGGACTAGCCTAGTGGCATACCTCTGAAATTTTTCAAGCTTCTCCTTGTGCTTAACAAGGTACGACCTCCATGCTGGGGCCACCACATACTCCAGGATTGGTCTTCCATAAGTGGTATACAAGGTTCTGTATGATTCCTTACAGGGGTTCCTGAAGGCAGTTCTGATGTTAGCCAGCCTCGCATACGCTGCAGATGTTATTCTTTTGATGTAGGCTTCAGGAGACAGGTTTGGTGTGATATCAACTCCTAGATCTTTCTTTCTATCTGTTTCATGAAGGACCATCTCCCATTCTGTATCCTGTGTCTAGCCTCCTGTTTCCACTGCCTAGTTTCATTACCTTACATTTATTTGGGTTGAACTTTAGTAGCCATTTGTTGGACCATTCACTCAGTCTGTCTAGGTCATCTTGTAGCCTCATACTATGTTTCTTCGTCTTAATCCTCATCATAATTTTTTTATCACCAGCAAACAATGAGAGGAATGATTCTATACCCTCTGGTAGATCATTTACATATATCAGAAACAATATGGGTCCAATATGGGCCTCTGAAGAGAGGTTAACTTCTGAAGAGACAACTAACACAACACCTATACCCCCTATTAGACTATTTTACAGGAACTTCTTTTCCACAGCTCATGAAACGGAGGAAAGGGTCCTGAAAGATATTGTTAATAGAAACGTTATCCCTACAGACAAAAATCAGAGGATACAACTGACGATTTACTATAAAACCAGAAAAACGGCCAGCCTACTCATGAGAAACTCTCCAGACACAAAACAGAACGCTTTAAAAGAGACTAACGTCGTCTATGCCTTCAAATGCCCACTTGGGGACTGTAAGCTCCAAAAAACCCAGTATATAGGCAAGACAACAACATCTCTTTCTAGGCGTTTAACGATGCATAAGCAACAGGGCTCCATTAAGGAACATATAATCTCTTCCCACAACCAAACCATCGCCAGAGAAATCCTAGTAAACAACACAGAAATCATCGATAGATACAGCGATAGCAGGCGGCTTGACGTTTGCGAGGCACTACACATCAAGAAGTCAACACCAGCAATCAACAGCCAGTTATTGCACAACTATATTCTACCCACCTCAAGACTCCGCTCCAATATAGAAGCATCAAGAAATATGGACCAAAAGGCTTTCTACAAACACTTCTATTCAATATCCATTGTTTCGTGTTCTGTCTTGTGTTGATGAAATTAATACCCTATTAATACTCTTGTTCTGTCTTGTGTTGATGAAATTAATACCCTATTAATACCACATTTTGTTCTGTCTTGTGTTAATGCCACATCACCCCTTCCACCTCACTCAAATGTAGATATAAAATCGGAGATACGTAAGTTCTATTCAGTTGTGTATTTGTGAACTAAAGTCTTTGAAAATGTAATAAGTTTTACGAAACGCGCCCGTGTCGCGTCAGACTAGAAATAAAAATGAATTTTGGAGAATTGATTTTTGATTTACCTCCAACAGTGAAGCGTAATGTACGAAAGATTGAGAAAATTCGTGTTAGAATTATTAATCTTACTTTTTCGGTCATATTTAATAATATATGTCTACAGGAAAGACTGCTACCAAAATATACTAATATATATATATATATATATATATATATATATATATATATATATATATATATATATATATATATATATATATATATATATATATATATATATATATATATATATATATATATATATAATTTTGTGAGGGTACCACCTCTGGTGCCAATGTGGGGACCCATAGCCTCGGAGAAGAAAATAAAAAGTATTCAGAGGAGACCTTGTGGTTTCTCACTGAACACTAATATTATCTTCTCCTACCACCCCCATTCTTTTGTATGTACACATATATATTTACTTTATTTGAACTTTGTTACAAAAAAGGAGTTACATATGGGTTACAAAGATGGTTGTCATAGGTTGTCGAGTTCCTCCAGCTCCTCAGATGGCGGGCAGGAACCCTGGATGCAGTGCGCATTTCCCCTCTGTATCGCCACACTGAGGCGCTGGAAAAGAAAGCTTGCAGCTCTCGGGTCCCTTGTTGTTTCGATGAGCCTAGAACCCAGTTCCTTCAAAAAACTGGTAGCACTTTTACCCCAGGCGCCGAGCGTCTCAGAAGCAATGGGGACAAAATTGTAGTGGTGATCCAGTTCTCTATACTTACGGGATTTGGCTGCTTCCCTGTGGGTGGCAGCGCCACCTGGTTGTGCAACACTGAGGTTAATGTAGGTGTTAGCCAGGGTTGATACGCACGTGTAGTCCCATACCAACTGCTTGCCATTCTTCCAGGGGTTCACTGTGATACCATCCGGGCGACCAATAAGAGCATCAGAGTTACGGGGCGTTAGGTAACGGGGCTCTCTTTCAGCTGGGCATCCAGCTGTGGCGAGGCTCCTCTTGATGATGTCGTTAACTTCACTGTGCCTCGAGTGCCATCCCCCTGTGGTTTGGCAGAGTAGGCCATGGTGACCGTACCTGTCAGCCACCACCTCGCCGCAAATACACCTATATCTGGTGTGGATTGGGGCAGCAAGGCGGAGGGCCACAGCAATTCGGAGGGCGTGTGGTGTGAGACGCGTGCCAGTTGCCGACATTGGGGTTGCTAACAGGAAATCCCCTGCATGTGGTGCTGCTACTGCTGTGAGGCGAGCAATGTCGTGTTGTGTTGTTGCAGCACCCAGGCACGCTGCAGCAACTTGGTCTACAATGGGACCATCCCAGCTGGATTGCTTGTGGGATTTTGGGGATGGTGGTCGAGGTGATTGGCCTGCACGAGAGGCCCACTCTGTGGCACAGCGTGTAAAATTGGGATCATGTACACCTGCCAGCTGATGTAAGTGGGCAGGTAGAATTTCCTTCACAAGGTCGTCGGATGCTGATAAGGAGGACAGGAAGGCTGGAACAGCGATTTGCGTTGCTGTTCGAACTCTGAGGCCCCCAAGTCTTACGGGAAGAGAGGCTTGTTTCCACTGTAGGTCATCGAGAGAGGGGTTAAGGGCTTTTTCTAGCATTGATTTCAGTAACCGGTCATACTCACTTAGTTTTTGGCTACTGTAAGATGGTGAACACCTCAGAAAGTAGGTTAACCTGGGGAGGGACAGACATCTGGTGATGAGGTAGAGTGCATCATGAGCATCAATATCCTCAATCCTCCCATCCATCCTCTTAAGGTCGGCGATTTTCTTATCAAGGACCTCATCGATGGCTTTCAACCCCAGGGGAGCTCCTAGGAGTGTGCTGTCTTCAGGTTTAGTTTTATGGATATTTGGCAGAAGACCCTCTATTCTCTCTACGATGCCCTGGTTGGAACATATTATTTCACATTTAGAAGGGTTCAGGGTGAGGCCTAAAACT